AATCGTTCCCGACAGTTACCAAAAATTTAATCAGTGATCAAATGCCTCGAATTTTTTTCGTCAACTTTTTTTTATTTTTTTACAATTGAAAAAGTTTTGCGAAATTTTTTAATTTGAAAAGAAATATTGGAGAAATTTTGTGAGGTTTTTTTAATTCACCAAAATTATTAAATTATGCGAAAATTTTTAAATAATGAACTACAAATATAACAAATTTAATAATTTTGGATAAATTTCGAAAAATTTTGCTAAAATTTTTTAAATTAACCAATTTTGTTTGAATTTTAGCCGAAGAAGAAGACGAGAAAATGGTAATCATTTGTTGCTTTAAAAAAATTCTTTTTTTTTCGGAAGTATGACAACGTAATCGATCATAGAAGTTTTTCAGAAAATAGTAAACTGATTTTGAACGAGTTATTCAGGTAATTGATCTTAGTAGTTTCTATGATGACGATCGCCGTGACGATTATATTCTCACCTATTTCGAAGTAAGTAGTATCTTCAGCAGTTTTCCCTTTCAATACTTTTTCTTACCAAAATGATTTTCTTAGTAAGCGATTTTGTTAATAAAGCTTTAATTTTGTCGCCATAATCAACATTTCATCACAACGATTTAATTCTTTTTTTGCTGGCCGAATTTCATATTTTTAGATTTGTTTCATCGTTTTCTTTGCATATTTGGCGTAAATTTTTTTGATCCATTTGTTTGGGCTAAAGAAAGGCATTAAACCTATGTGGAAAAATCCGTGAATTTCTAAAGCTTTGTTTTTTATGTTTGTTCCAGGATCTCATGGTATTTATTAGGGTTTTCCTTATTCTGAAGCGAAATTCACGAAGACCAAAATATGTTTTTAAAAACTTCTACTGATGAACCATGCTTATTCACCTTAAATACAATGTATTGATTAAATTTTACTAAAAATAATCAGCATTTGTTCCAGTGGAGCATTTACTGCGCCTGATGTAATAATCATTATGGTCTCGATTGCGATATGCTGAAACGTTTCGAAATTTTCACCAGAAAAATTTTATCTTTCTCTACCGAATAAATCGTCAAATTTGCTTGCCAATTTCTTAGTGGATCATGCATTTAAACTTCCATGCAACCGGGCAATATTTCCGAGATTAAATTCAGATTCTTCTTACCAAATCAAAGCAATTTTGATAGCTTGGTGCAGTTGATATTTCAACGATCGATTGTTTTTAGATAATCCCGAAGGCAAATCGGGAGTGGGCGAGCAGTCGAGGATGTAGGGCGGTTCTACCGACAACGTGTAGCGTTGTTCATATTTCCACCCTTTGGCAAGCCTGTGCTCTAGCCGTTCTATTTTCATACATAAGAGGCTTTAGTTGCGCTTTCTTCTGGTCATATTCCCTCACCTTTTCCTTTTATTTACTTCAGTTTACTCGAGCCACTGAGTTTTTAATTTTTTTTTCAATTTACCAAACCCTGCCAAAACTTTCTTCAATTCTAAAGAAAGCTAAAATTTCACTTTTATTCTTTCATATTGAATTTTTAAAATTTTCAAAATTCTTTAGCTAAAATTCTATTGAACCTACAAATTCAATTTAAAAAAAGATTTAATTTTGATTATTTTTTTGATTTTTTCTTCGTTTATCTACTTTATCATTAAAATATTTTTGTTTTTTAACTTGAAACTTATGATCCATTGATATCGATTATTAATTGACTATTTTTGTCATTTTTCTCTCATTCGTTCGATTTTTTAAAGATTTGCCGATTTATTCAATCATCAAAATTATCTACCTAATTTCACTTATTTCTGAAGCGCATTCTTTAAGCTAATTTAGCAAATGGAGTATTTTTTGAAGGTTTTCTGTTTTTTAGCCATCGATCAATTATTTAAGCTTATCGAATTTTATTTTTTAAAAAAATTTTGATTTAGTTGCATTATTTAGTTAGTAAATAAATTGTTTCATTGATTTGTTGATGAAAGATACTTCTATTCGCAACTCAACAAGTTCGAGTTGAGAGTTTCTATGAGTAGTGTTGGCTAACTGGTTAAATTTTTGCAGGAAAAATAACTTTCTAAATATAAAATGTCCAGTAATCTTAAATTTGTATGGACAAAAGATTGGCATAGAAACACAGTAGGAAGAGTACAATCTACCGTATTCTTCGAAAACATTGTCACTCGAAATCGGAATTTCGAAGCGATGTGCAAAATTGTCTTCATGGAGTTATAAGAAAACTGCGCGTCAACAGATTTGATTTATTATTTTAGTTCAACCAATGATCATTTGCTTGAAATTCACATTAATAAATAGTATATAAAATCGAAGAAAGAAGAAGAAGACGAAAACGATGATGAAGAAGAAGAAATGATCAAAATTTTGATTGAACTGATTCGGCGCGTTTCGTAAACATATACCAAAATTAAAGGAGTTTGATTAAAAGAAAAATTGGAAAGGAGTTCTTTTCGTTTAAATCAATTGAAAAGGAAGGTAAAATGGCGAAGAAAATGCTGAAGAGAGATTGTGATTAAGAAAAATAGTTAAAGAAGAGAATAAAATCGAGAGCAATGATAATTGTACCATATCATATTTGACGTTGAAAGGTAGGTGAGTAGAAGGATGACCGAATTTTTGCGAATACCGGCTTGAAATGAAATCATTTTTGGAGAGGGGGAGTAGGGGTGAGGGGGGGGGGGAGAAACGAGTAACGGATAGAAGGAATTACATCGCTTCTCGTGAAAACCGTTCGATTCGATTCAGTGAAAACTTCACTAGAATAAAAATTTTATCTGTTGGCCACCATGTTTAATATTTTTTTGGTAGTATTTTAGCACGCTATGTTTCACTCAAATGCTTATAGAGCAATATATGATATATTTCATTTCAAAATTTGCCTATGGCAAAGAAATTTGAAGAAAATGTTTCACCGGTTTTTTTCCTATGCAAATAAATGCTTCTACAAATTTTTTTAAAGTCAATTTATGCAATATATTGTGAAATTAAACGGTTTCATCATTCATATGTCGATGATTCGCTCAGCTTAGCAATAATACTTCGTTTATGAGAAGTCCTTCGAGTTTCTCCTTTCATAGACATATTTCCTAATTCACATATTTAAATATTAGTGGTTTCCAAAATTTTTTGTAAAGTCATGGATAAGTGCGAATTATTTGGAATATTAAATATTATTTTAATGATATTATTTAATAATAATACAAAATATATATTTTTTGACAACAATATTATTATGATATTATTTAGAATGCAATTTTTAAAAGCTTAGTTTTTGGATCAATAAAGACCGAGAATGCCTAATTTTATACAGATTATTTTTTCGATTATTTTAGTTGTAATTTTTTTTGTGATATTATTTGAAAATATTTAATAAAATAACTTTAACAAGATCTCTATATACATTAAATATAGATTTAAGCCAACGATTTCTGCCATATTTCTACTTAATAACATCCGAATAGTTTTGATCCAATGATTCTGGCAAGAAATGAACAGATGCCATTATAATTCAATTATGATCTATCGGAATCATGCCATTTTTCTTAAAGTTATTTTATATTTTGTCTTCTTATCATAAACAAATCACAGTGATAATGGTTTTCACAGTGGTGTTTTCAATCCGAATAGTGAGCATTATTCAGCTTATATAACTCGTCTTATTTGTTGCTAAAACCGGCTTTCTAGTCTATTTTTCATGACCATCATAATCTTTCCGATTATCATCATTGTCATCATCGCCAAGTTCATTTTGCAAAACCTTCATTACGTAGATTGTTACAACAGTTTACACAAAACTTTGTTTCTTTATCGTGGGAATTTATTCATGAAATATACATTCCGCGTGCCTAAGTATTTTCCGAACTCGAGCTCACGAAAATCTTACGATATCTTGTAGAATTTTTTAAATGTAACGGCTATTCTATTTTTAAATAAATAAATCATAAATTATTGTATAAATAAAAAAAGTTCCAAAAAAATTTCTTATCATCAAAATTAGCAAAGACTCCACAATAAGCAAAACTTCACTAAAGTTCTTCGAATTTAGCAAAGATTTTCTACAGTACATCTATAAATTACATGGATTATCAAGGCAAATCAACCTATCAAACTACTACATATCAGCCTATTTAGCCAATCAATTTTTTAAAATTATCTCTCTAATTAATTTTTTTTCCAAAAATTATTTGGAACTGAACGAAATAGTTTATGTTATTTGAACATTTAGCATCAGAAAACTGAATTTCGAACATTTGAAGAATAAATTTTAAAAATCTTAGTAATTGATGAAGAACGGCAATCTTTTTCAAGTGATTCATTGTCCTGACGAGAAATTAACAGAAATTAACAACTGCTGATAAAATTTTGCAGATTGATATTCCACTTAATGTTTTTTTTCTAAAAACGCTCCCATTTCTTGTTAGGCACGCTTCATTGGCTTGTCGAGCTAGACAAATTTTATCGCTTATTAATAAAAGCAGAACTGGATCGCCAGCATCATCTGAATTTTTTAAAAGATAGGTTTACACTTGTTGATGCTAGAACTCCAACATTAGCTTCCCCATACGAGAGGAAAATCACTTTAGCCTTTAACTTAATTTTCTATTTAACAATGGTCGATTATTATTATGCAGTACATGGCAAAAATGTTTTGGATTCTTCGTATTTTGCTTTGTTCATTAAATTTTTAAAATTTAAATTTTATTTAATTTAAATCTTTTTAAATCCTATTTTTTGTGCTCATAATTTCTTGCAATTTCATAATAAAAATAATTTTTTTAGTATGTAATTTTATAATTTTGTATTCATATAAGAATTCCATATATTTCTATTTGTTTCGTAGCGTTCTACGAGAATAATAAAAAAAATAAAAAATCTAAAATTCGAATTTTTAATTAATTAATTACTTTAAAGATTTTCGTTATTTGGCCATAAAGTATTTTACAACAATTCGACAGTTATTTCATGATTATTCGTTAATTGAAGATCTCCGGAATTATTGCCTTTTTGAGATGGAAGTCCACCAACCATTACCGACTCAGTATTTGCATAATCCTTATATAGTAAAAACTGAACCACCGTCATCAGCTCCACCTACTCCGCCCAACAAAAATATCAATCATACAGTAACACAGAGGCGATCGACAAATGGTCCCGGTATTCGTTTCCTTCATTTAATTATTTTCATATTTGCAACAAATTTTCATAATTTTTTTCCCTTCAAATTCCAAATTCAACACTTTTTAACATTTTAATATTTCTGCGCCCTTTTATTAGTATTTGTTGGTCATTTCCAAAATATAAACAGACTCAACAAACAAAAATCTTATAAGCATATTTCCTTCGCTGTTGGCAAGCAGAATGGGTTCATATCGGTCTCTTAACAAAAATAAGCTTATTCATATTAAGTGTAGGCTTTGTGTAAGTTAAGGTTTTTGCGCTGATTAGCATAAAAAACCTACATTACATAAATTTCTTATGTACCAAAATTATTGGCCCACCACTTCGATAAATAGAACATAAGAATTATTTATTTGGTATTGTAATGGAGCTGAACGACCTTTACGAACTTTTTTTATCGTTTCTAATCTATCGAAATGTTGATCATAATAACTCATTAATCGAACGAAATTGTGGCGCATAATTCGATCATTTAATTAAGAAAAACTTCGGAGAAATAGAGGGAATAGATGATTTAAAAAGGAGATTGATTTTAACGAATAATTGAATAGTGGTACTTGTGCCAGTAATCTAGTATAATTTAAGGCGATTCACTATCATGTTCGAGTGATCATCAGCTTTATAATCACAACAATAACAATGCAAATATGCATTCTAAAGCGTCTACAATGATGCACAATGGTAATTGATTAATTTTTTTAAATGCATGTTTTGTTAATTTTCAGCTGTTCGATTCTATGAGAAATTTAAAATTTCCCTTCTAAACGCTAATTGCATAAAGCTTTATTAAGTTTAATAACCCAAATGAGATCATTGCCAAGTTGACAATTCGCTAGTTTTTGACCCGACGATAATTTCTCGCATATTAAAATCTATAATTTCCTTTAATTTTAGCTAAATTATTGCCTTTCAGCTATAAATTGAAAAAAGATTTTAATAACGATTGAACTTATTAACTTAGATAAACATTTATTTAAACGTCTTATAATTCTGCACCGTTTTATTGGTATGGAATTTTGCAATTTTGTATTTCAACTTGTGATTAATTATATAAAAGTTTTATAAAGTTTGATTAATTATAAAAGTTTTTTCAAAAATAAAAATAAATAATTCAATTCAAATCAATTCCGGCATTATATTTTTGGCCTATTTTGGTATATTTTAATAATTTTTATAAATATCGCAAATAAATTACTGAAATGGTCAGCCATATATTCAACCATTGAAAATATTAGGGCCGTGGAAGAAAACAAGTCTAATTCCTTACCCCAGGCAATTAAAAGCGAACGAAAATTCCTTTCAGATCATGAAAAAATCAAAAGAGAAAACATTGGTTCTTTGGCTGAGTTTCTTGATGTTATAATAGTGAACTCATTCTAAAAAACCTTAGAAAAATTGATTAAAAAACATCTAAAGTGAATATAATGGAAATAAAAGATTAATAAATCTACCGTAATTCGTCATTATTGACTATCACACGGTGACGGTATAACAACCGTGATGGTTCTAAATACTTTGTTTTACTAATGGCGTAATTGCTATTGACCTGATTGGATTTAAATAAATCTTTTGCGTAAGACGGTTTTCATAAAAGAAAATTCTAGTGAACATCGATGCACTAATTATATTTGTATATGGCTTAAGCTTATTTTTAAGGATGAAATTTAACTTGTAGCACCTTTCAACCAATTTAACTTTGGAAAAATTTAAAAACAATATTTATTTTCATTATATTTCTACTATTTCATTTAGAAAGAATGAATAGAAATCGAAAAAACGATGAGAATTTTTAAAAAATTGTGTTTTTGTTTTTAGGACGACCTTTAACAGCGGACAGGAAGCGACCGTACAAATGTGATATGTGCTCATCTAAATTCGGCTCAAAGATGGAACTTGAAGAGCATCAAAATTCACATACCGGTTTAAAGCCGTTCGAATGCACTGTAATATTTCTTACTAGTTTTCTGCAAAAATTATTGTTGATTGTTGATTTAGATGAGTTAATTTTAGTCAAAAATATAATTTTCATAGGAATTTTTGAGGAGTTTGAAAATTTTTTGCAAGTCACTGTAAATGTCAATCATATGTGTCATTCGCTATTGAGTTTTCCGTTCAATTTTTATTTCTTTGGCTGACAGCCATATTTCTTTTAAAAAATCAAATATTCATAAGTAAAAATAAAATCTCCGTAATGAGGTCCACGTCAAACTTTTATAAAAATAATAGTTTTAATTATTATTATAGTTATAATTATACTATTATAGTTATGTAAAGCACGTTTCAACCGTCGCTCAACACTATGGAACCATAAACGGATTCATTCAGACGATAAACCATTTGAATGCAGCGTATGTCGAATGACTTTCAAGTGGAAAAATTCGTTGAAATGCCACAAGGAGATGCATCAACGAAAAAATGAAATTACAGGATTGGAGAGTGATCCAGACGAAAAGACACTTACCTATGCGACTGCTGCTAAACGCCGTTTGGTAAAAATTCACCGACTGTGCATCATTAAAGCTTTCTATCGATTAAAAAAAAAATTTTCTGTGGTTGAACAAAATTCTAAATTAAAAAATGCCATCGAAAAAAATACTTAGATTATCACTTTTATAACCTAAAATGAAGAAAACAAATGGTTAATGCCCACCATTTTTCGTTAGCTTAGTTTTACTAGCTAATAGCGGCTTGGAAATTTTCCAGAAAATTACTTAACGATAGAAGTATAAGTGGACCACCAGAAGAATCCAAATTTTTTAATGTTTTAATTTTCGAGGCCAATAACTAAAATTTTGTCTTGCAAGATAAAACAATTCAATAAGATCATCTAAATCACTGTCCACTCGGTTATCCTCGCCCTCTAATTGACTTTTTTTCGCATAGTTTGCCGTGAAACTATTATTTTGAAAATTTTCAAAATATCATTTCTTTATTACGATATTTTGCAATTTTTTAAAAGTTTCTTCATTTATGAAATTCTCATAAAATGATTGACAGTGATTAGGTTTCTCAATCGTTTTTGTTTTTTATGATTGGTCTGAGAATTTCTTTGCAATCCGAAACAAAGAATTTTTCATTATCAAAAGATTATTTGTCAATATTCTGTTGAAAACAATAGCCAAGTCAAAAAATTGGCTATCGAGAGAAATGAATTAGTTCTTATTATTCACATTGGGTGTAGAAGTTTAGGTGGACAATGAAAACAAACATCTCCCTAAGCGGAACAATATTCCCAAAAAATAGTTTTAATGAATTGATAAGAAAAGTTAAAAATGAGGGAATGGTATTGAAGAAAAGCAACTGTTAAGTAGTATATAGAAATAAGTTTATTCTGCGAAAACAATCCAGCATTTGATATTAGGTTGGATCATAGATAGGATCCAGAGTTATGTCCAAGCCAGTCTTTGTTTAGTTTCTTCTATCCATTAAGGGACCCATTTTACGAATTTTCGAGGTACCAAATCTTTTATTTCTAAGGGAAGCTGGAATAAAATATGTCGAAAACGCTACAAAAAAAATTAAGCAAAAATTATCTGAACTTAAATATAAATTTATTTTGTTTCATAGTAGCAATGTTGGATGCTGCACCACCCTATTTATTTCTTTTTCATTTTTCTAGTTATACTTTGTTTGTTTTGCAGTTAGAGGGTCATGACATTGCACGCACAGCGAGTTGTAGTACCGACTCGATTCACAACAATCATTCATTAAATCCAACACCAAGAAAACGGGGTGCGAAATCTCTTAATCAGCGTGTGGTTTCGACTTCAACAGCAAACGGAATTTCTAGCAACGGCGCTTTGACGGCTCCTTCGGATAGCTTTATTCATCCGCCTCTGCAAGCCGTCAGTTTTTTTCCTTGCTCTGGTATTGTACTATGTGAACTTAGTATACGCTAGTATATGAAATTTTCAAAACTATTGTATTCTATTTTTATACCTTATAGGTTTTTTTTCAGGAAGGATTCTTCAGTAATCAAAAAACCTTATCAATAAGCGATCACAAGGAGCTTGATTCGTTGTTGAGCAGCACAACTCGATTAACCTCGATGCTGAAGGATGAAAGTGTTTTCAAAACAAATATTTGGTTTGATTTATGTGATTCGCAATCAGCTAAGAAATGTTGGCCTTCATGATTGATGAGCAGTAGTATTATGATAAGCCTATCTCCATTAACATTGACAACACGTTTAAAATCCTAAAATTCAAGTAGAAATTGAAATTTGCTTTTTTCGAATTTAAAATATTTGATTTTAATTTTTATTGTGACTTAATAGTACTTGAAACGATGAATTCATCAAAATTTATCAAAATTTATATTCGCATAAAAAACTTTAAACGATTAGAGCATCGCCTTAACCTAACTCTCAATTAGTGTGAACCATTTCTGGTTCCACTGATTGCCAAAGTGAGGTATTTCTTGGATGATCCTTTTATTATTTAAATTGCATAAGTGGGCTACTCGCCTTAATGAAATGAAGATGCAGTTGCAGTTTTTTGTTGCAATCGTTTTTAAATAGTGGTAATTATTAAATATTTTAGCGATGATCTTGGCTCCATTGGGAATCACAGCTGCGTTTTCGATTCCAAGCAAGAAATGAATGTGAGTTATTATGATTTTTTTTTTGAACAATTCATAAAATAAATTATAAACTCAGGTACTTGGTAAAATGATTTTTTTGCTCGAACTATTGCCGATAAATAATAATTGTTGATAAAACTTGAAGAAAATTTCAGCTTTTCCATGCGAATTCATTTATGGTGTTCGGAACGCATCAATTGGTCTGCTTTTTTTATAGCAATATTTTTTTCTTTTAAATTAAAAAGTTTAGTAATTTAATAAAATTTAATATCGAAATTTAATTAAGCGATTTAATAAGATATGCTCGAGCAATTTAATTTGAAAATATTGTTCTTTAAATTGCTAGTATTAATTGCTGGTATTGCTGGTATTGCTGGTATTAATATTTGTATTAATATTTGAATAGTATTTATTAACTTTGGTGTATAAATATTTTAATAATCTTCGACAACTATTACCTTGAGTATTTTCTTCGAACCAAGTTTTTTCTTTCTCATTAATTGTACTTAGGATCGTTAATTTCAGCCGTCTTCTGTACAAGGCTTCGCACCAACAAATTTACCATTATCGAGCTCGAATGGATCCTGCAACGATTATTTCCATCTACATATAAATCAAGGTGATCAAATGGCCTTAAGTCAGAACCAACCGACTATTCCTCTCCACTCGCAAGCGCAGTATGTCGAGAGCTCTTCACAAGCTGAAATGTTGATGGGCCATAACGTAATCACTTATCAGTCACAGGTTTATATTTGAATTTTTTCAAGTCTTACCACAAAATAAGATTGCAAAAATAATAGAAAACTTCAGGTCGAAGCGCAAAATTTATTGACGTCACCAAATGATTATTCATTGACACCAACAAATATAGATTATATGCTAAACGGTTATCAAAGCACTTTACAAGACAATTCAGCCAATGCAGTGCGTTCATCGCAAGACCAATTGCATTATAATCAATCAGTCGATGGAATTAGCGCTGAAAGGCCGGATAGTGGCAAAGAAGTACCACAAGTATCCTGGTGAACCAGCTCTTCTTAGGCTCATCTACGAATTAGTAATCTCAATAGTGCCATTTAAATGAATTGTATTATTGCATTATTGCTCTCATTTATAGTAGATAGTATAGGATTCCCGAAATTTTAACAAATAATACTAAAGAAGAAAAATTTGCAAAATAAACCGACGAGCGGTTCATCAACTGCGATCCATTTTTTCAAGGATAATCCGGCAACTCTCCTGAGATAATGATTCGTTTTCAAATCGTCTATCATGATTGGTCAAATGACAGCTTTCGTAGCATTTTCAAAATTGAACTTCGAATTAGGTTTTTTTATGTGTTGCAGCAAGCGATAGCATTCGACTATCGTTTATATTCCTCTCTTAAACCTTAAAATCCAAATTTCAAATTATAAAAAGTAATTATTCAGCGATCATCAGAGATAGATGAGATGGCAACTTCATCGATTCTCGCGTTTAAATTCAACTGCTATGAGGAATGGAGGGATTTCGGGATTTATATGCTTTCAAACTCATTTCTTACTTATATCAAATCGTTCTCCTAATTTTTTTGTTGTAAATATAAGTGCCTTTGTCGATTGCAAACGATATTTAACTATAGTTTACATCAATTTTCAATTTTGCTTTTTTATTTTTTCTTTTTTTTCATCATAGACTTATCGACTCATAATATCATAGGATTTTACAATAATTTATTCTTTCTAACAGGATAGTACCAATCGTTCAATGGCTTAGTGAGTAATTGTAATAATGACTTATAGGCGGAAAAAAAGAATTCTTATTATCCATGGGAATAATCTAAGTAAGTGAAAATCTGATATGTAATGGCATGAAACCTCGATCTAAGAATTCGATTTTTTCTCTGGAAAATCATAATACAATTTTAAGCTTTGCAAAAATTTGCATGTGCATTTCTAATTGTTTCCTCTAAGTACTCAATTTTTTTATTTGAATGTCCAGAATCCTTCGATTTTTGAATCTTCCTTGCCTGAAATGAAAGTTAAGTGCAGAAACGCAAGTAATTATTGCTTCTCATCAGGTAGAACCTATAAATTTAATGCGGTATTATATAATCATTTTTTATATCATTTTTTTTCTATTGAAAAGTGAATTCAAGTGCCATTTCATTTTTGTACATTGTTTTGTTTATATTTTAAGTTTTTGAGCGAAGAGCCTTAATTAATTTTATGCCTTTAGAAAGCATTTGCCTTTTGTACAGTTCAAAAAAAATCCGCATAGCGTAGAAAGATTTTTTGGCAAAAAACGAAGGCTAAAAACGTTACCACTGTATATGTTTTATTTTCATTCACTTCATGGTACCATAATGCTTTTTGCCGCTTTTTTTCAGTTCATTTGTACTATTAAAACTATGAGATTGTTTTATTTGTATAATTTTCGAGAATTATAAATTAATATTAACTGAGAAATTAGTCTCTAACCAACATTTTACTTATATCGGATTATTCATGAAAATGGCTCATGCGACAAAAACATTTCACTAGATTTGGTGGATGTGATTTTTCAGTTGAATTCATAGAATCTCTTTTACTCGTTTTTTTTGCTTTGTTATTTTTATTTTTTGTTCAGAATTATGATAAATGTGCCTCTGTTGTTATTAAACTACATCCTTAAATTACGATCATCTCAATGTATGAAGAATAAATATTCCTAGTATTTTAAAGATATTTAAAAAACATATTGAGCCTTCCAATATTGGAGCAAATTTTGGAACCTATATTTCTATGCTTTATTTCTTTTTATACTTCTATAATTGAGCGATTGGTCAAAGAATATCTCCTTTCACGATAGTAGCCAAGCCAGAAGCCAGCTAAACGAGAAATGATGGCTCATTGGAAGAAAACACCAGATGACTGAATCGATGCTCATAATAATAAAAGTTATATATATATAATATAGAAGGTATTGCCAAGTACAGAAATAAATAGGGCGAATTCTAATATTCATCATTTATTGACACTTGCATTATATTGCTTAAATATAATTTAACAGTTGCTTCATTCACCACACACCACATTCCTCTTTTGTATTTTCTCGTTGTCAATGGTGCAACGAATTTGATAAATGAGTTTCTGATCGGTTGAAAAAGTTGGCAAAAAATTTATATTCATTAGGCGGTTTAAAAACGATTTACAACGATTTTTGAAAATTATTATTCTTAGTTTTTATTTAGTTTTTTACGAAAATTTTCGAATCTCCCTAAATTATAATTTATTATTATTAGGCAACCATAATACAAGCAACAACTTTCTGTAAAAATGAGATTTTTCGTTTGATTTACCAAAATCTTTTATCAAAATGAAACAAAATTTATAATATTAATGGCGTTTCACTGGTTTGTCCTCATTGTATATGAAATCGATGGCCGTTGCCGATAGTTTCTCCAATCTTTGAAATATCGGCATCCGATGATTCCGGTCCAAATTAACATACAGTTTACAAAAGCGCCCAAAAACAGATCATATAATAAACCTGAAATAATCGCACTTATAAATCTGGTCGATTTTTTTTTCCATTAGAAAATCATTTAGTCACAGAAGCAAAATGAATCCGCAGCATCACTAGGATCTGATTTCTAACAAGAAAGTCAAGCAACAGAGGCTAAGAGCAGATTCAAAAAATAACTTGCGAAAATGCAATAGACGACTTTTTTCCTGATTTTTTTTAAAGCTTAATAAGCTTTTTCTACTATTTCTCAAAATTCATAGAAAATTTTTTAAAAAAATCTTTTTCTAGAAAAAATCAAATAACAAATTGACAGATACAAGTGAAATGATTTTCTGAAACAAATGATTTTAAAAATGGAAAAGCAAAGATCAACATAAAAACTTAACAGATGCAAAATACTAACCCAAAGTAAATCCGAAAATCGGTAGGATAATAGCGCAAAGTAGGGCAACGATCTGCAAAAATAATAGCTTTTAGGAATCTGTAAGCAGAATAAAAAATAATCATTTCTTCACTTCCAAAATTCTCAAGGATGGACGTCGATTTCTTTAAAAACAATGAGAAACAATGAGAAATCTTAGTGATAATTGGACTATGGAAGTCATCAAAATTTTCATTAAAACAGCCTGGAATTTGAGTTGCTTCAACGTTTCGAAGAGTCAAAAGAAAATGTATGAAAAGAAAAGAGTTAATGAAAAGAAAAAATAAAATCTTAGTTAATTTTGGTTAATTGTTAATAGAAAAAATCTATGAAAAAGGCCTCTTAAAAACTAAAAGAGCCAAGATTTGCTGACTTACCTGTAATATGACGAATATTAATAAAATGATATGATTCTCAGAAATTAATGAAAAAATGAGCAATAATACAGAAAATATTCCTATAATCTCGGTGACGACGATTCGAAGAATATTTGGTGAGGCGATATTGACGATAACAGAAGGAATTATCGAGAGCAACAAAATCACATAAAATATCACGCAAAATTGCAACGCAACCTAAAATACTAAATTACTGTGGTGTGGAACTTTGCTACGAGTAGTTAATTCATTAATGGGGACATTAAATTCAAATAGCGCACCTAATTTTAATTTAATTTCTGATAAATTACCTTTTTATGATTTTTTATTTTATAGATTTATTTCGATAGAAAATTTTCCATTACTGAGCATTAAAGAAAATTTTTATTTATTCGTGAAAACTCAAATTTCTCTCAATAAATAAAATTATGGAACAGCTTGTTAGCTAGAAATAAAATTTAGAGATTAGAGATTATCGCTAGTTTCATTTCCTGAAACTCGAAGTATTTTCTTTAAGTATTTTATTTAGCTGAAAGTAGCTGAGAGACAAATGTTTTATGGTTTTTTCCCGCTATAAAAGTCCATTTGGAATTTTAAATCTAAATTTATTATCTCCAAAGCAAATGGATTCGTAATACATTTCTTTTCGCAAAAATTTCTGCTAAGTCTACGCTTCAAAGCCGTTGAAAATATTGCATATTTTAATAGTTTGTAATACGAATTTTTTTCATTATTTCTGGCCAAGTTGAAAAAAATAAAATCAAAAGAGGAGATCATATCTTTATCAGAGAAGCCACTTTATTAAAGTAACTGCACGTTGGCCTCTTCATGGGTATCATTTTTAGTGGAAAATCAATCCTTCCCATCAGGTAAAAACCCATGCAGTCTGTTCTAAGTCGAATAAATCGCAAAAAATTCCCAGCGGTGTTGATTTTTGACCACAAGTCTCCTTTTAATTATTTAAGCAAAGTTATTTAAGCTGTTGTAAAAAATTGAATTTCTTGAGTTATTCATATTTTTGGAAAACTAATGAATCGAAAAATTATTAAAAATAGTTTAGTGCAAGCTGATTTTGATTTTTTCGACTGGACTGTGCCTAAATACAATTATAAAGCTATAAAAAATAAATACATGATTGTTTTCGAATACTTTCCAAACGATATCGGTCATCTAACCTTGACATGCAGTAGGCCAAATAAGCATCGATAAGTAAACGCATCATGATTAAAATAGCCGATGCCATCGGAAAATGAAAACGTCGACATTTCTATGATATTTAAATTTATCTTAAAATTAAATTTTTTAGAAAATAGATCAACTTGTGAACTACTCAGTTATAATTTACAATATCCGAATTTATATTAAATATTAAATAAGCAAAAATCGTTTATATTCTCGTTTATATTTAGAAAAAAATTTTTTCAGCATAACCATTACCAACTGAATTACCAACTGAAAGAAACTCTATATAGGAGAGAGAGAAGTGCAAAGAAAGAAGATAGATTGAAACAGGAAATTGGTATGAAAAACTGGAGGAGAACCAAACTGCGGGGTGGAAACTATGTGTCCTAGTCACCATACCACATAGGACAAAATTTATCAGCTATATTTTTCCTTTTATGAGCATTGGAAAAATAATTTTAACCAGGCAAGTATGCAAGACTGAAAATCAGTCAATATCAGTACTCCATATACAAATATCCATTTTTCGCTAAATTATATCATAAGAATCGTGGAATTTGAGAAGAAAGGTTAGAATTTTGCAGCAATTAAACATTATCGCTTTTTTAACGATAAAAAGCAAAGACTTTTCTGATTTAAGTTTCCTCGGTTATTAGTCTCGGCTGTTGGGGATAAAATCAAATTGCAACCACCTATACTCCACTTCAATCTTCATTTTCTGACTCTTAATATTCTAAGAAAGAACCATCTTATATAATACCCAGGCACCTTATATCAGAAAGCACCTTAATTTCGTGATTTAACTAAGTCTTACCTATTTTTAAATTCGATAAATAATCCTATGGTGAAATAATTGAAATTTTTTATTTCAAATGAAAATTAGAAAAAAACATTTTAGCTCCATCCTGGAAAAACAACGACATCAAAAGAAGGATAAAATCACCAGAGTTTGATCAACATTGATTATCGATTATGCAATGGCAAACATTTCCATTAGCACGCCAAAATACTAAAAATTTTTGGCGATCGATTCATTTGGTAAATCAATTGGATCCTTGAAATTGCTTGAAATTATGGAAAGCAATTGTCCAAAGGAAGATTTATATCAGTGTTCAAACGTGTATTCTTGGCTATATAAACGTATATGAATACATTTCGATATATCAATTGATCTGAAAATTCTAAGAAAATATTGAATCACTTGTTCTTGGAAGTATGGATCACAGGCTCGTAGCCACTAGCTATTAATAGATTGAGAAATTTATGGATCATATGGATACATGTTTTTAACATCACTTTAAACATCATATTTTGACGCACAATTTCTGTCGATGCAGCTAACTGCTTGTTCTCAATACATATAAATATGATTCTAATAGGGTTTCTTCTCTTGGCTATCATATGAAAATAATTCAACGTGCTATTTGCATACCGTTCAAAAACTAATCAAACTGCAGTTTTCTTTTTACGTGGGGATCCATCAAAATGAAAATAGCACCAAAAACGCTAATTTTTTTTGAAGTATCAGATGATAGGTTAGGAAACTTTTAAAATTGTGGTAATAAAATTGTGATCTGACTTATAGCATATTTAAAATATTAAGGCTAATGAACATCAAATAAAATTTCATCTCTATGTATCATGCGAAATATATTAAAATGTTAAAAAATATACAAATTCATGAAAAATTGATAATTTTATGCAAACAAATCGGAATTCATAAAAGGGAATTATTTATGCAGCGATTCATATTTGAATAACGGCTATTTTAAACAATTCACAAAATTATTAAATAATTTAAAAGCAATAATTTTATCATTTTTATGAAAATTTTTGTTGCCAATTTATTCATTATTACCAATATATTCATTATTTTCTTTTTATTTTATTCTAATAATATTTATTTTTTTTCTATTTTTAGATTTTTGCAGTTTTTTTTCAGATTTTTATAGCTATTATAGACATTTATCAGTTAGCTAATGTGGACGGGTAGAAAACCACAAATGTATCAAGTTTACAAATGACTGATAACTGGAAATGCCAGTAAAATTTCCTAACCTATCATCTGATTCTCCAAAAAAATTAGCCTATTTTCATTTTGATAGATCCTTACGTAAAAAGAAAACTGAAGTTTGATTAGTTTTTGAGCGGTATGCAAATAGCACGTTGAATTATTTTCATATGATAGCCAAGAGAAGAAACCCTATTAGAATCATATTTGTGTCTATTAAGAACAAGCAGTTAGCTGCATCGACAGAAAATAGCGAAAAGCGAAATCCACTCGTCTTTTCAAAGTGACACTTGGACACCTAAATCTTTTCATTCAAACAGTTTCAGCCAGTGAAGGCTCGTATATTAAAAATGGTGAGAACTGGTCGAACGATGATACTTAAAAGCGAAAAATCTAGTCTTTATTTAAGCATATAATAGAATAGCGAAATTTATATAAATTATGTTCAATTGTTCAATCTCAAGGATTATTTTAAGTTCTCGTCGTTATATAGCTTGGAGATTTCTTAAGATTTTTCCAGCTGTATCGATGAATCCAACTAACGGTGACGAATCAATTCTTTCTTCTACGTCTTTTGTTCCTCTGGATTTTTTTTCCTTTTTTATTCAAAAATTTTCTGTTAAATGAATAATTTTTTATGAATATTTATCGACATTGCTCATTCCTTTGTCATCAAATTTCGTTAATTTTCATTTCAAAAAGGAATTTTTCATTTTGTCGAAAATATCTTTGATTTAAAACACAACAGTGGAACAATTTTTTTGGCATTTGCTGGAATAAATTAAACTTACAAATGAAATTCTGAACATTTAATAAATAATAATCAAATAATAATTTTTGGGTTTTTATTCAAATCTTTAAGCACTAAACGATTTGTTGAATTTTCAATTTTCGGTTCACAATTTTTTGTAACCAAATCCTTTTGCGCATTATTCTCCGACGGTTCTCGGCTTTTTTCATTGTACGCATTAATCCATTGAAAGCATAAGAAGACAATATATAAGAACCAAAAATTAATGCCAATTGCAAGCAATAGGCCACCAACCATTAAAAAAGTCACGGTGGTCGTCACTGAAATTGCTAAACACTTCTTGTTATGGCTCATTGAATAATTTGCCTAATTATGAAGATTTAAACTCTATTCTAATTTTGCGCAATAAAATATGCCTTATATATCTATACTTAAAATCGGGCAATCTCACGGATTCTTTCTGGTTTTTTGGATTCCGACAAGTCTATGTCACAGTTAGAGATAATAGTAAATACCATTGCGAGCTTCTCATTCATTCATTATTATTATTGCTAACATTATTATAACATTGCTAACATTATTAGTATTGTTCATTATTGTCATTGTTTATTATCATTGTTTAGTGTTTATTTTATCGATGCTATAGTGCATAATATTATCAATGTACCTGTGCTAACTTAAAATGGCATTGTAATTGTAATTAATAGTTGGACTATTTAAAAAGCTTAAAAATACATTTAAAGGTTTTATGAACTTGTTAATGAATTAATTGATCATAAATTTTTAAACGATGTTTTAAAAAAAAGAATATAAAAATATAAATATATATAAAAAAATATCTCTAAAAAACTAAAATAGAAAATATAGAAGCTAATAGCAATTGAAATTCTTTGAATTATAAAAAAACTTAAAACAATAAAAACTAAATACTTCGTGAATAGAATAATTGAAATTTTTCTCTCCCTTAAAATTTTCTATCAAAAAAATTGGAATTCGTGGGAAAAAGGCGGCAAAATTTGATTTTCTCGCCAGAATTCGGCTCTTACACCACTCTTACACCACACACGTACCAATTCTAGTTATAATAATTTATTTTTCTTGATCTTAATTGGTCATCCACTTTTTTCTTCTTTTTTTTGAGATATCGTTGAAAATCTGGATAAACCTGACCTGAACTAATTTGATTCCTATTAAGACGGAAACCGGTTATTTCAAGAAGGTTTCGCATAATATTTCTTGACAAATCGTTGTCCTTTATCAACTGAATAGCACAAAGAAAGAATAATAAGAGCATAACGAAATTCCATAAAATCTGAAAAAGTATAAATTCTTTGAATTGCATATTTAATTGTCGAATCGTAAAATCAAAATAACAGAATTTAGCACAAAACAATAGCAAGGATTCGGTTAAAAAATTCGTAGATTTCGATTTAGATACTCATTAAATGGGGCATAAAATTTTATATTTTTCCAAACTTTAAAAATCTTTTGTTAATTATCATTTCTACTTTAATAGTCTGCTTCAATAGTTGTTAAAGATGATAAGATGAAATATTTGCAAGAGAGTCACTCGGAAATAGAAATAAAAGTGGATGCACCACTCCGATATTTTCATTTTCATGATAGATTCACTTTAACGAAAAGTAGAGACAGAAACATGGTACTTGATAATCTGAGCCCTATATCGTTCGGCTACAATGCAGTATTTGCGCAACTGACGAAAATAGGAATAACTTTCATTAGGTGCAAACATTTGGTAATATTAGATAATTAGATGAATAAGTTAATAGATTAATAGATAAGTAAATATAGGTGGTTTATGGTATGAAAGAATCTGAGGTAAACAAACGTTAATAAACAAATATGGCTTGAGGTATCCTGCTCGTCGATAAATGATTCCATAAAACAATGCTAAGATACCGAACAGATCAATAACAAATAGTAAAAATTCTATAGCAAAATTAATTTCCGCTCGACTTATTCCTAAGCAAAATAATATTCCATTGATAATCGAAGAGATAAGTGATAAGACAGCAATTAAAATTGTTCCATACTAAAAATTTTTAAGTTTTATCGTTAATTTATTTCGAAAAAATTTTCTATTAATTTTCAGTTTGTTGAAAAAAAAAGAATTATTAGAAATTATTAAAATTGGAAACATTCAGAGGAATATTCGATTAACTTACACGAATATGTACAACACCACAGCAGCACGTATTTGACGGCGATCGTTCTTCGTCAGCATAAGATCGTGAAATTTTTTCCATTGAACAGTCCACATCGCTTCTGTATAAATGGATATTTTTAACGCAATAGAAATATCGCTTTAATTTTGTTATTTGACTCTTAATTTTTATTTCAATTTTATTTATTAAATTTCAATTTTGCAATATTATCAAAAATTTTCTGAATATTTATACGGAAATCGAAATTAAAAAAATAAAGTAAACTTTAAAAAATGGTGGGAACAGCTGATAATGATAATGATTAATTCAGATATAGTGGTAATGATTAATTCAGGCATCGAATCGAAATATGTCACCCATCTTATTAATATCAATATTACTATCAATAGCGCACTCTTAGAAGAAAAAGATGAATTTTAAGAATCTTGACCAAGCAGTGAAGTCATTACGGTTTTTTGCATCAGAAATTACCCTAAAAATTGTTAAAAACTAGGATTCCGAGAAGCAATTAATTTCAATTATTTGAATAATCTAAGTTGAGGCGGTTATGCTAAAGATAACCGTTTTCCTAAAACTAGTCAAAGGGTCTTTGCATCTGAAACTAATTTATTGCTACGTATCAAACAACTGTCATACGGCTCTTCTAATATAGTAAATTTTTATTATTTACGAATTGCTTGAAATCCACCAGAGAGATTCACGGATCACAGAGACTTAATGAATTGCTTGTTCTTGGAGCTTCTTGCCAAAAAAGATCATTAATGCAAACTTGAAATTGTGATTTGAAATTTATTGAGTTGGCTTCGAACGATTGTTGAGAAAATAATTTATTGCTTTAATGTTTAATAAAGCAAATAGTAATTGCCACTTATCATTTTGATATAAAATTATTTGATTTTTATTATCAGTTATCATTGTTCATCTTAACACGTTAATCACTACTGACTTCGCTGTCCTTTTTAACTCTTAGGATGAGATATTTTCAGCAGAGAATCATTTGAAAACGGAAGGTTCATGTGAGTCGCAACCCGGCAATTCGAAGGCAGCAGCATTTATTCGTTAGCTAAATTGCTTAATTTTATCATTTATCTCTAATCAGTTAATCATTGAAAGTATTGAAAGCAGATAGTGAACCAATCGAATCAATCAAACTCACTGTTCAATTCGAATGAACAAAGCAGCATTGATAAATTATTGCAATAATTTCGCTTCGAGAATATTTCTAAAGAATCATTTCGTCTGATTTGCTTCAATTCGAGTAATTCTTTGGAATTGATTGCTCTCGAATACGACGATTATCTGCCTCATCTAATATTTTTATCAAAAATATTGATGAAGAAATGCCTTCTCATTTATTTTTGCAGCAAAAAAATTTCGCAGATTTTCACCTCTATAATCGAATCACAACTTATCCAATTAAGTAGATAAACGTGGATCATAACGAAGCGATTTCTGGCTAACGCCTATTATTTCGCTTTGAATGTGATTGATATCGATAATATTAAGGAAAATTTTAGTGTAATAAAAAAGTATTAACAAATGTTTCATGCGATATATTCAAAAATGGCGCATATAAGGAGAGGTGGAGAATTAAAGAATTTTTTCTATAAATAATTTTTCTATAAATAAAATTCCTGGATTTTTTCCTGAATTCCTGGACGATAAGTTAACAGATTTCAATTGAATGTATCAAGGCGTAGTTTAGCCCATAGTATTCTTTATTCTAAAAAATTCATTAATTTATGAGACCCATTTTGCAAAATATGTCGAATATGGCATAGAGATATTATCAATAACGAACGACCGATAAATGGCCTCAAAAAATAAACTTCATATAGGTTACGTTTCGAAAAGAAATTTCTAACGAAAACAGGTTAAATCAGTAACGCTACCAGCTTTGAAACTTAACAACCACATACAACTAGTTAGACTCCGAAATATGAATTATAATAGCAAAAAGTGCAAGAAGTCAAGCTTTAGACCCAGGCTTTCGATACTCTTATACTAGGCAACATGGAATAACAAAATTCTAAATTCTAATAGTAGAGGTTCAGAATCTAATTCTAATACTCACTTGGATAAATAAGGATGGATTAGAATTGCTCAGTGGCTCTCATTTCAGAGCATCGGTTCTTGGAGATTCCACTTTGCGACGGAATAATTGAATTTCAAGGTGATGCTGACGACTAATTTCGCTAAGTTATTTAAGTCACTGGCAAAAATTGTCTAATACGGCAAAAGGCAGCATAACTAAAAAGATTCAAAAAGGATGAACTCTTTTAGAAAAAAATCAACACAAGATTCAAATATGAGTGTTTTCATTTATCTAACTTTTTTTTTAAGAATCTCACATCTCACCATTAAATAGTTAAACTCGCTCCACTGGCTTGTCGCATTAGGCAAGAGAGTCGCTTGGCGATCGAAATACAGGTGAGTCGCCAGCATCACCCGGATTTTTGTAAAGGTTTACTTCTGCAGGGAATCGAACCTCATATATTTAGCTAAGAGAAAATTATGTAAATTATTGTGAAATTGATGAAAATCGACAAATAAAACTAATAAACATCATAGGCATTGAGCCATAAGTCACAAGTAAATGATTATTGTTTAAAGTTATATGAAACTGCAATATTAAAAATATTCGAAAATTGCTATATCAATATTATTTTTATTAAATAATATTTGCCTAAAAAAAATTTGGTAAACAAATGATTAAAAAAATTTTTGCTTGTTCGATTAGATAAATCATATATGCCAACTTATTAGGATGCGCGGTGATTGAGCCATAAGTCACTTCTATTTAATGCACCCAAAATGGTTTCAACTCTTAACATGATAGATTCATTGCGCTGGCTTGTCGGATATACTGGGCGAATATTCTTTGCCGACAGAAGTACAGGTGAGTCGTCGCGGATTCTTGAACAAGTTTACTCCTACGGGGAATAGTACTTCCCCATTGGCGCTCCGAAATGCGTGCGCAGTCCACGTGGGTATTCTACTCTCTTGAGATTACCAATTAATATTGAAGGGAAAATTCTAGGGAACATAGTTCAACTATTCACAAGTGAACCTCTGAAGAACAGAAGAGACTCAGTGGAACAAGAATATGAGAAATGGTGCATGATATCAGATGAAATTATTAGATTTTGAATAACGTCGAATATAAATGAACTTAAATATGGTACTTATAAAAGCCATTAAGAATCAGTTATTAACTTAAAATCCAACTATTTGCATTGAAGAAAGAAAGCAAATCAAAGTGAAAAGCTGAAGAAGCAACTTTGTTCGATTGTAGTTCATATTTATAACCTAGGAGAATGAAAAGATCTTTTAGGTTGCCATTATATTTCTCACAGTTTTCATTTGTTATAAATTATTGTTTTAAACAAAACTGAATACCTTTTCGGATTTGGCGTTGCATAATTTAGAGATGGATTTTCTTCTTTCAACATAGGCCATCTCGAATTATGTGTTTGAGTTCGAAATGTTTGAGCTCGAGATGTTCTTCTCATGTCAATTGCCTTAGGGTATGACATATCTGCTTCAATCATGACTTCGTCGAGAATCAACGAAGCTGTTCACAAATACACTTGTAATCAGAAATGAAAAATTAATCGGCTAACAGGTGTGGCCGACGAATCGTTTTAGAAATCACACAATATTTCTTATAGCAATTGGGAAAGATTTTCGAAAATTCATCAATATTTTATGTTTCGATTTAATAATCACAGAAAATTTTCACCTGATTAAAATTGAATTCAGGATAAATTAATTAAAAAAAAAACGAGAAAAATCAGATAGATGATCGTTGATAACTTATGTAAGATTAAATACTTAATCCAATGACAAAATTATTATTTTAAGATCATTTCTTCGGCTAACAAATCTCCATCCCCCCCTCCCCCCCTTCTTCTCCCCTTCATCGCCTGTTAATTTGTTCATTTATTCTCGATTAGTTATTACATCGCTTTTAAATAGTCGAGAGAATCAAGAAAGAAAAAATTATCATGATTTCCTTGATCCGGAAAAAGTCCTTCCCTTCTTCAATGCTCATCTTGGGACAACCCCCTAATGAACTCAATCGTTCATTTCATTTATGTCCAATAATTATTGCATTTTTATCAAAGAAAAAAAAGGCTGTTTAAATGTCCTAGAATCGAGTTACGCAATACGAGTAATAAATTAAATTATGAAAAATGTTTTTTCTCATGAAGTAATGCAAATAACTGAGAATCTAACGATAAATAAAAGATACCCATCTTTGATAAAAAAATTTGCATCATCTGGTCTAATTAACAGGATGGTTAACTGGGCTTTTTGGATTCATTTCGAGGACTAAACTGCCTTCCAAAAATCTGAAGTCCTCACCTAAATTTCTATGTTTAGATGATTTCCTGGCAAAATTTCGTTCGACCCCTACAAGGCAATGGGTGAGGTTAGCCAGAAATGAGGAATGCTCTTAGAAATAAAGAATGATTTAATCATCAACAGAACAATATCAACTTTAGAATTTAGTAAAGAAAGTAAGTAAGGTTATCAGTTTGCTTGCTGGCGTTAAATCCAACCCAATCGTCTTTAGAATCTTTTCTTTCGTATTTGTTTTTGATAAGATAACAAAAGATTTGTCGGCATTAAATAAACTAATAAATGACGTATGAATCTAAAAATTAATTGATGGTTCTGAACAAATCGTTTAATTTCTGCTATAAAATCGTATCGGCAGACTCGGCGACTCAAAATAATTAATAAAAACAATAATTAGTAAAAGCAGTTCAACCAGAAATGAATACAAGCAAAAGAAGAAATTTTGTGCGATATGTTCGGCTAATTAGAAAAAAGATCTGCAAAAATTACAAAAAAATTTTTTTTTCTGCAACTGATTTGTATAAATTTTAAAAATTCTGAGATTTTTAATGGAATTTCGTAACGATTTACGATTTACGATAAATTTACTAGTTTCAATTAAAAAATCCAAAGTATTTCGTCCTTTTTTGCAGATCTCCGTGAAAAAAAAATAATTTCTTCGATTTTCTATAATTTTACTTTAAGCACAAATAAATGAATGAGATTTTTGCATTGGGTTAGAATTTTTTCCGCTATTTTTTCTCTAAAAAGTTATTCAATTATCGAATGATGGCATACAAATCTACATATTTAAAAATTTCTTATTGCTTTCGTGTATTTTGTGCGCAAACTTCGAATTGTTAGTCAATTGCGCGTGAAAAAAACAAATCTATTTTTCTACCCAAATAAATACTTGGAAAAAAAAGTTGACAAAAGAAGAAAATGAAAATAAAGATGAAAGAAAAATCGGAAATGAATAATACTCTTTTAAATGTCGTGTCATATCATATGTTCACTATGGTTTTTCCCTGCGAAATTCGTTTTTGTTATTGGATTTCCTGAAATTTTTGCCAGATCAGCGAAAAAACATTCGCAGTTTTATGTCTTGTAAAAGGCTTAAATTTAATTTATATATATATATATATATATAATTTTTTTATATTATATATATATTATTTTTATATATCATTTAAATTGTTATCTATTTTATTTTACTATGCATATTTTACTATTTAAAATATTTTTTAATGCTATTTAAATAATATTTAAAATATTTTTTGATTTTTTAATTACTTACTTTCTCGAATAAAAGTCAAATTTGATATTAATAATAATGATGATTTTATCAAAAAATAATTGAAATTAATTTATTTTCAATTTTTTTAAAATTTATTTTCATTTCTTTTCACTGAAAAAATGATAAATATGTAAAAAAATTGAAAGAATAATTGAAATATTTATGAAACTGTAAATTTACATTACTTTTTACATCCATCTTTTATGACAAATGAATTTTATGATGACAACCTTCTTGAATTCGTATAGTTTTTTTTCACGAAACATTTTCATAATATGTTATGCTTTATAGATAAAATTTCTTTCTTCTTCCCCCCCCTCCCCCCACTTCCAAGTGGGTAATTTAAGGTGGATAATCCTCAACCTCACGTCTCTGCCGTTGATCTGGAAGCTTGAGGGTTCCACATAAATTTGACCTGTTCCTGTCAATACGCTCTTCTGGATAGAAAACTCCAATATTTTTTACTGGTATCTATTTGAACCATTTTTTTAAATTAAGGGCCACAGCCTCTGGTGCTTCTTTTTTCATTATTCAGTACTACTTCGGCTTTCATTTTCATATCTCCGGTTACTCTTCAGCTAGTGGTGTTTCTCTGGTATCTCATATTCCTTCTTCCTAATGTTTCGTGACTTAGTCCTGCTATATTCATCATCAGTATTGATTTCTGATTTCTACTACCGTGATATGTGGTTTATTGGCCAGCAGTTATTTATCTGTCTGGTTGGAGAAATCATATAGGATTTTAGCCTTGTTTTCCACGATTTCCTGGGAAGTATCTACCTGGTTTTAGGATGATCTAAGTGAATAGATTTTTCTATGGGCAATGCCAGCCATTTGTTTGTGTCCTTCAGTTTCGGTATGATATTTTTCCCTATATCCTGCTACTATTTACTGGACACTTTCTGATGTTTATTTGCACATTCTGTGCCTTTAGTCCATGTAGTAGATCTCCTTCAGTAGATCTGATGCTTGATACTGCTTATGCTGCTATACTAATGTCTCACTACCTTTTAGTCCAGCTTTTTCCAATTATATGATTGTTAAAGTTTATTTTATCTTCATCTGTAACCGACTCACTGAAGAAATTGCTTAATCTAGTAAATGGCCAGTAATGTCAAGCAAAAATAGAAACAGAATATTTATTTACTGTATATGATAAAGGATTGATAGTTCAGAGGATTTTGCGTAAATATTTTGCTTAAAATTTGCAAGATAATTAAAAAATGAATCAATTTTGCTTGGAATAATTTGGATATTCTTGCTGGATATTCTGCACCATTTCATCTTTATTAACATCTTTATTTCATCTTCAAATAAAACATTGGCATTAATCATTGATGATCGGGTGATGCTGGAGATCTATCGTCTTTTATCGTCAAGTAAAATTTAGCTTCCAGGCAAAATTTATCTGGTCCGACAAGCCGGCGAAGCAACCCAACTATCAATGGTAAGAACAGAAAATAAATAAATAAATAATATCATTAATAATATTACGGAAATAAGTCAACCAAACCACAAATGAAATAAATAATTTCGCATAAAAAGCGTATCTTCAAAAGCTTCTAAAGGAGCATTACCTTTCGAAGAAATTCGATAAAATAAATTTACTCTCGCAAAAATTTTATTTTTAATCAAATAATTTATAATTTTTATGATTATCAATAATCTGAAATTAATTCTTGAAGCTACAGCTAATAGTATTAAAGCAAAAGTATTTCGTCAGTGCCGTAATTCCTTCCTTTTTCACTAGTAATTTTCATTTGTGAATAGTTGAATGAGCAATTTGCAATGAAACTAATATATCTGAAATCTGAAATCTGAAAATCTGAAATCTGAAAATAGGTCAATGGCATAGCTAGGTAGTGGATTTGTGGTGAAAATCGCGTATCAAGGGCCAAATAACTCATTGCCTGAAATTTCGAATTTCCAATTTCTAGCATTAATGCTTTCTGTAGCCTTCGTTTTATACCGTATTCATGCTTTGGTTGGTTCCATTAACTAATAAAGTGTGGCACGCTTTTGCTAGAACCACTCTCGAATAATTCAAGTGGGTCCTCAGCAGTCATGTGGCACAGATTTATTTATTTCTCTTAAGTGACGACTATAATTTAGTGGATTTATAAGAAATATATAAAAATAGTTAATATCTATATTTTAAATTTATTACTTAATAAATAATTTGATATATTTTTAAATTAACACCATAGACCATATTGACCTGAATACTAATGCGAATATAGATTGTATAGCTTGTCGTTTATCATACTCATTTGTAAATAATAACTTTAGATTTAGACATTTATTCGTAGCTGATGATTTATTTGATAATAAATCTTCCACTTCTGCGAGAACCAATGGTTTCTTATTTCGATAGTTGCTTCCAATAATAATTTTGTGCAAACAACTAAAAACCAATAAAATACTATCACAAAATATATAGTAAATCTTAAGTTATAAATATGTAAACTCTTCAGTCAATCATAATGATAATTTTTGTTGTAATAATATGATTAACATTTATATAAGTTTTGCTGGCTAACTACTGCCATTGAATAAACACAAAAAATGTCAAGTAAAAGATATCAAAAGATAATAATTTACTAAATCGCATTTGTTACCGCCTCCAAATCTTCCAAATTTTTTTCTAAGACCACACCACTTGCAAAAATTTTATAATTTGCGAATATAGGGGATTTCAGGGTATTTTAAGGTATAGTGCCATTTAAGGCATTTTAATATGAAGAAGGTACGATCGTGTAAACGAATGGACAACATATATCACACAACCCCTTCGCCACAAAATCACTTGCACAAGTGGATCCACAACAGACATCCACACATGCATTTATTACATTATTCGGTAATGATATTTGTTTTGTTCTATCTATATCACCATAAAAACGAAAGTGTGCTATAGTCGTGCAATCTATATAGTCGTGATCCGTTCGATCATGCTGTATGGTTCTGAGACATAGCCAATGATAGTGGAGAATATTAAGAAGTTATCTGCCTTTGACCACTCTTGTCTAAGGTACATATTATGGATCCGTCGAGCGGATAAAATATCACATGATCGCATCCACCTTCGTTCAAATACCACTTGCTTAATGTTGTCACAGAGCGTCGCCTTCGGTGGTTGGAACATGTTCTCCATCGTCCACCACGAGATTTGTCGCATATTTTGTTACTTCTGATGGATAGCGTCAAAAGCGAGATGGGCCAATCAATTATTGGACTGATACGGAAAAATTTTAAACATATAGGTGGGCCAGCAATGTATCGACTTAGACGATGGAAAAAGGAATGGCTTCTATTACTGTCGACGATGGCATCGGACCGTGCCGCTTGGAAGTCTTATCTTTGTAGACATTGGAGCCAGTCTAATGGTGAGAGCTGTTAGAAAAAGAAGAATCTATATTTTGGCCTAGGAATAATATGCAATTAAAAATATTTTAAATAGTGAGTAAAAAATATTCTAAATAAGAATAAATAAAATAACACAGTATTTATCTCAGTAATAATACTGTTCTTCAAATATATCTTAGGTTAAGCCTAGGCTTAATAAGCCATAACAATAATAATTTTATTGCAATTTCTAAAATTTTTAAATTAAAAAAATAATCTCCATTTTAAAGTTCAGCTTTACATGAGATATTAAGGAGATTTATTTTGTTGTGATGGATGATTCGTTTTCTTTTAAGAGATTTAGTGAGGATTATGATGAATTGTGGTATTCAGTTGCGGCATCCAGAACTCGCATCCAGAGCAGAAACAAGAACGACAATTGTTGGTATAATGCAAAGAAATTGATTGACACAACAATTGGTCGATTAAGTTGGTAGCGAAGAAAAATGTTACATTAAAAACTTGTCAACCGTAGAAATTTTGTCGATCAATCACTTTTTTTTCATTTTGATTGGTTCTTCAATAGATTTCTATTCGATATGATCAACGTAAGATCTTCTTCTCTTATATTTGTTAAGTTTCGTGTAAATCGAGAATAAAAACTCGAAAAAAATAGCCTTTTCTTTCGTGCAAAAATATTAAAATATTTTTTAAAAGATTAAAAAGGATTGTAAAAGATTGCAAAAATAAAGGAAAGTATAAAGGAAAGAGAAAGGAAAAAAGCCAACATAAATAATAATCTAAAAATTTTAATAAAAAATTTGTCAAAAATTAAAAGGAATTTTGTCAAAGACCAATAATAAAAATTTTTTTATTGATAATTTTATAATAAAAATAAATAAGATTTGCCAATATAATAGAAATTTTGATAATAGAAATTTTGTCAAAAATAAAGTTAATAAAAGGAATTTTGTTATAAGCAAAAATTGAAAAAAAAAAAGTAACATATGATTTGATTTGCTTAATAAAAAAAGGGAAAAATTTGTTTTTTTATCGGAAAAGTGATAAGATCAATAAGAAAAAACTCAAATCGCTGGTGTTTTTGTCTATAAATTAAGATAAATAAAGAGAAAAATTGAATCGAATAATGGCAGGTGAAATATTTATTTGATATTTGACTTTTCATTATTATTCGTCGGACAGGTTAACCGAATGCTTGTTGCTTAGATTATCAGTTCGAGTGTCATGGAATTCTTATCAGCAAGAATAAGCGATTAAAAATAAATCCAAATGCTGCTGAGGACATTGCCGAGTGAGTCTTTGGTGAAAAGGTCTCATGCCAATAGAGAATCAGAAATAGAAATGGTAAATGATATTAGAAGAGAACTTCATAAGAAAAACCGGATCGAGTAATCTAGTAATGGAAGGTGAATGAACCATGGAAATTTTCCAAGAATTGAAATATGGAATCGTCGCACTTGTTCTAGTCTATGGAGACCATAAAATCACAAATAATCCGATGGTAGATTCAGTCGTCCAACAGCGAGCACCAGAAGAACTCCTTGAGGAGGTTGAACCGTTCAGAATAAAATCTTGAGTGATTGCTAGGGATCGACGTGGACCTCTATGAATGATTCTCGTCATAATCAGTAGATTCACCCAAATAAAAAAGATTTTTAGAAAAAAGGCATAATGCATGAAATTTTCGGTTTAATAGGTGATCCAGCAATATATAGAAACGCTTAGACGATTGAAGAAGGAAAGATTGAAGAAATGACTTATGAAGAGACTGGGGACCAAGAAACATCCGGAGGTCCAGTCCTAGAAACCAGTGGAGCCAGACCAAACGAAAATTAATGAATATTAATGAGGATAATTTTCATAAAAAATTTAAATATCTTATTCGGATTCGATGGAAATAAGCGCTATATGAAACCGAGTGGTGCTTTCGATTCACTTCTATCACCAAGGGATTTCTTGGCATATTTGTCTGGCACGATAAGCTAACGAAACCAGTTTGACCAGTAATGGTGAGTATTCTTTAAGAGAAACGCTATTTAGTTGTTATATCTCATACTATAATCCTAGAACGATATTCCGCTTACTGTAGTTATACTTTCCTTACGTGGCATTCTGAGAATTAAGGCTTTCCGTGTTAAAGACGTGGAAACTTGGGTAAATGGCATGAATGGTTTGTTTAATTGAATTTAATTTTAGTACTCACTGGTGTTTTACTTGCCTTTCACTTTCCGGCTAGTTGGACAGCGCTAACGCAAAATTTGGCCATTGTTGGTCATTTTTCATTGCTTATTTTAAAACTTACAACCATTGCGTTTGTGTAATTCTGGTGTGAATTTCGTTCATTCATCTGCGTCATCGAATTTCTATAATTGATTATTTGTTGTTTATTTTGAATATGCTAATCGGAATTCGACATTACATACACTTGTGTGGGTCACTATGAATTCACTTCTGCTATAGGGTTTTGCTGTAACGGCCAGTGGAGCAAACAATATGCAAGAAGCTCGTAAATGCCTATTTTTATCAATTCTCGCCGGTTGAAGATGTGCCAAACTGTCTTAAGTCCACCGTAATTCCGAGTAGCTGAGCGAAAGACGAAGTTCCAACCTGGTTATTTGTAGCTGGAAATGCATTCTTTTGGTTGGCGAAATCACAAAAGTCTGCACCTATATAGCTGCAGTTCGTTCGATCTTGCTGCGAGGCACAGTCAGTGAGAGTGGCGGATATTATCTGCCTTTCCTTTAACTACTCGCATCTTTCTTATGGGTCCACCGAGCGCACGTAGTTTGCTGGTTTAGGTACATTATTCATCGTCCATCACAGGAGTTGATGCATATATCGCCACTTGCTAAACTCTATGATGAATGGCGTATAAAGCGAGGGAAGCCAGTTAAAACTGTTCTGATACAGTTAGAAAAGAAAGATTTCGGACATATTGCTGAATCAACGATATTTTGACTTGGACGACGGAAAAAATGATTTCCGTCAGTCGGATTATTTGGAAACGTTTCCCTTTTTAACCAGCCGAATCGGCGTAATAGTAATGGTGAGAGCTGTTAGAAAAAGAAGAAGTTTGCCAAATCAAAAATGCTATGCTAGAAAGAGGATCTTTTCTGTCCCTTCTTCAAATTATATTTCGCATTGTGTTGAAAATCGCCTTATATTTTAATCTCCATATCACTCTTATAATCCCTTTATTACAGAAAAACTATTTCAATGAATTTTGAATGGGCGAATAAAATAGCCAAAAATGCTTTAAAAAGTGCACAAAAGCGAATCGATTCGGTTCTGGATATTGAAGCTGAAGATGAAGAGGAAGTTCGTTTTTTTCTTTCAGACTTATTTGTTGTTCCTATTCGCTTTTTGATATCATTTATTTATTGAATATATTATTTGAAATTATCATCAACTACCTTCATCATCCACAAACATGGTTTTATTTTTTTTTAGTTTGTGTATTATATCCTTGTATAAGTTATATTAATTCCTTATAATTATAAAATAATTGAGTTTCAGACTACAGATATAAATTTGTCAAAAATTTTGCCTCCTGTGGCAACAACTAGTGGTGCTGCAGATCAATGGGAGTCTAATGATTTTACTGAACCATTTCCATCGTTTTCCACCGATGATTCTCATGTGAGTTTATTTTTATTTTATTTTTATTTATCTTTTTTACTTTTTATTACTTTATTACTTTACTTTTTATTGTTTATTATTTTACTTTTTACTTTTTTACTTTTTATCTTTTTTACTTATGAATATTTTTATACTTATATAATACTTATGAATATAGAAGTAAGAGTTTAGAGTTTTTCCATCTTTACTATTAGACATGAGCGGAATTGCAGTTTGAAGGCAGTGTCATTGAAGCGAAGAAAAGTGAAAATTGTTCCAGTGCTGATGAGTGGCAGTCATCCTGGGTAGTCTATTTATTTTATTAATAATCTTTTGGCTTTCGATTAGATATTTTCTTCTATTTAAATTCTCATAAATTTTCTCATAAATTTTTGGATGTTTCTTATTTTTCTCTCAAAAAACTGGATTTTTATTTTTTCTTTTAATTACAGCCTGTTGAGGTGGTTGATTCGGAGCCGAATCCAATACGTGATAGTCATCATACTGGCTTATATCAACATTCGCCCACTTCTGCATGTTTTTTATTCACTTAAATTGATTCCTTTATCTCCAAATTTTTCTATATAACTTTTTTATTGGCAACTCTTGCAAACTCATTAAATATTTTTTAGAACTCGCCTGATGATGCTGTATGTAGTGGCGATGATCGGGACATTGTGCCGTCGAATGAAATCGAGAAGTCTCATTCTACAGACGAAGTAAACATTTATAATAGACCGACTTTACCTTTTTCTCTACTCTTTTATTCCACTATTTCTGAATGTAATTCTTAATCTTTACATTTATTTTAGAATTTGCTTTTATTCAAATAAATTAAAAATCGCACAAATAAATTTCCACTATTAAAAATATTCCTGACATCCTCAAATCGATGGTGTAAACCATATTTTCATACTAATTTTTCAAGATGACAAGCTCATATGATTGTAAATTGCCTGAACAAACATACGAAACTCGTTCTCAAAATAATCGATCTCATGATGAAACTCAAACAATTATATCTAGTGATATTGAAGTGCTACGATTGAATGAGCCATGGTTAGCTATTAATAGATTGTAGATTTTGAGTTGATTTGTAAGTTAATTAATTTTTTTAGGTCTGCAGCTAATAGCATTTCGCATAAAGATTTGGAGATCTCAATACCCGACGTATCATCTTTGGAACCTACTCAGGTAAATTCTTAATGTTATTTTGCGTGAACTCTTTATCAGCTTCATATTTTGCAAGCAAATTATTCTCTCAAAAACTTAATGCTTTTTAGAAAAAACTTTAATTACTCTAGGCTTCCGTTGAATTTCTGAAAGCTCAAAATTCCCATTCAACTGTAGCGGAAATAGCTAAACTAAAGTTAACGATTCAACATCAAGAGCGAAGAATTGGTGATCTTCAAGCACAAAATTTGCGGCTTCAACGGAAATCTGATGAAATGTTAAATTTGAAAGCTGCCATCAGCCAGCAAACGTATTTTTGTTTCATTTTGAAATCCACTTTATGTAGAAAGAAATCGCTTGTTTATTCCCTGCGAATCCTCAACCTCTAGTTTTTTGTCAACAGGCTTTGGAAATTTTAGAGTTCCGCTCAATTCTTAGTCATTCCTACGCGTTCTGAACATAGATATCTGATGTTATTCCTTGAATTTATTGGAGCAATTTTTCTAGTTTAGGAATCTCATCTCCTAGTGTTTCTTTTATAAATAGACTTACTTTATCTCAATTTTCCACATCTTCTCCAGTTCCTCTTTCAGTTCGTGATATTTCTCTTGCTTTTCATGTTCTTTCTTCCTAATGTTCCTATGACTTAGTATTGCTTTATCTGTCAACAGTGATTTTTGGTTCTTATCTATCACCATGATATGTGTTTAGTTGGCCATTACTTATTTGTCTCTCTGGATGGAGGATTTTGGCCTCATTATTCTCTAGGATTTTTTAGGGAATCTTCCATCTGGTCTTGGGAGAGTCTAATCAATTTAGAGCAGACTTGGTTGTGTCTTTCAGTGCATGCTATTCCTTTCTCTCTCCTGCATCCAGCTACTGTGAATTTGTGAGATTTTTCTGCACATTCTGCACCTTTAGTCCTGTTAGATGTAGTGGATCCTTTCAATGGATCTATCTACTACTTTTTGATCAGTGCCTTAATGTTGCTGCCTTTTATTCTAGGTTTTTGCATCCATTGCTAAGAATTTTCATTGTCAATTACCTCAGCTGTCTGTCGATAGTGCCTGTGCCTTTTTAGAGGGTCTTGCCTTGTCGTGTTGCTTATACTTCCTCTGCTCGATCTTTCTTCAATGTTTATTGATGTATCATACATCCCCTTAGCAGTTCCTCCTTTATTACCATCTTGATATATTTCTGAATATTTCAAGTTTTGTTCAAGACAGTAATTTTTATATTAAGCAAATCCCACCAATCTTTTCAGTTAGTGTACAGTCTTCAGGTGTTTAATTTGGAAAAAAAAATCCATGCATTGTAAGAAGTTTCTGGGTCTTCACAGCAGCCTCCATATCTTTTTTTAACCATCTCATTGTGCGTATCTGATGAATGGCAGAGTGTGGTTTGGACTTTGTTTTTTTCTTTGAGCTGGTTTTTCAAGATTATATTCTTTGGTAGTGCTTAGATATTGCAATTTTCCTTTACATCCATTGTGGTTTCCATGTGATCAAAAAGTATGAAAAGAAACATACTGGCATCTAAAGAGGTATTAGGAAGGATTAAAGCCATAGTTATCCCAGTGGTAGCATGAGGTCAAGGCTATGCCTCTTTTAAAGATCTTTGTCCAGCAGAGTGAATTTTAAAGAGATACTGACTCTCAAATTTCCAAGCTTTTGGTGCAAGACTCGAAGTTGAAGGAGATTCATAACATAATAAGCTATAGAATGTTTGGAACTTTTTTATACCTTTGGAGTTATGCGCTTTTTATTATTACTTCTTAAATCTTATTATTACTTTTAAAATCTCTATTTGTACACTATGACAACATAATGCATAATAAAATTGACTCGATTGCTTTGCATAAGACAATATTGATGAATACTCTTAAAAATCTAATAAGTTCGCGTTTCATTGGTTTTGTTTATTGGAATTCTTTAATTTATAGGTCGACCGAAGCGAAATTATTGAAAAAATTAACTGAAAAAGAAGCCGAATTAGCTGAATTATTGCAAGAAGGTTTTTTCCTTTGGATTTTAATGTGTTTCAAGGTGATTTAATGCATTTCTTCATTTATATTTTTCAGGTGAAAAACTCGCGGAAACCAATGGAAAAATGGCAAAGGAAATAAAGCGATTGAAAAGCAATCTTAATGAGCAGGAGCAGCTCGCAAAAAAAGGCGCTCAAGCAGAAATTGATCGAGATCTTGCGCGTGAAGAAATACGTGGACTATCAGTTGAGAATAATAAACTTCGAGGTAAATTTCTGGATAAATACTGCTTTTTATTCCAAGTCTTATAATCTTAACCAAAATTTTATATTTCAGCAACCATAAAAACAATGGAAGCTGAAATGTCGAAAATAAAAACTGCCGATGAAGTTTTAATGAATGATCTCAAAAAACGAGAGGAAAAATTTGATAAGGTGTTGGTTGATTTAAATCGCACTGAAGCTCAGCGAAACGAATTGGTTGAACTCAATCAGGTATTTTTCTTTTTTTGATTATTAATATGGTTCGTTTGATGAGATAATAATTGAATTCTGTGTTACTTATGCTAGGAGCAAATAATATGATTTCGGATCTTATTTTTTTATGGAAGCAAATTCTTTATTAAAAATGAAATTCAAGCAGCTTCTGACTCGTGCCTGAAGTGACTTGAAAGGTAAAAAAGAAATTAAAAGAAAGGTAAAAGGTGAAGGTAAAAGGAAAGGTCTGTTTTTTAGCAATTTTCTCTATTAATCAGCTGAAATTAATAATACATAATGTTAGACCAAGAAGTTATATGATTTATTTAGATTTTATTTTCAGAGGTTAGAGTCGATAATTTCTGAAATGAAAATTCAGGCGGAGAAACGAGAATACTCAAGCAAAGAAATCGAAGAGATTACACGAGGTGATTGATCATTCTTATTCTTAAAAAATCCTAAATTTCTTTGATTTCCACTCATTTTACCTTCATTATTCTATAATTTTTTTTTAAAAAATTTAAAAATTCTTTTTTGTGGCACTATTTCATAAATCATATTGGCCATCGTAACTTTATACTTTCTTCATCTCTCTTTTTCAATCTCTCTTGGCGTCATTTGCATTCCAGTTTTAAAAAAATTTTTCCAATTCAGTTTTAAATTTTTAAACGATGCATGTGAATTCGGCTGGTCATTCCTTTATCCAAATTTCTTTATATCCAAATATTTTTAGGGCTGAACAGTGCTCTTGATGAAAAACGTTTGAAAATTGAACAACAAGCAAATTACATTGAATCTTTGGAGAAGGTTCATTATCCTCTTGTTATTAAGTATTATTAGACATATTATTTTTTATTATTACACGCAGTTTTTGCGTGTATTTTCTAGAGCATAATGGTTTCATAATTTTTTCTTGCTTTTTCTTTATCTTGATATATTTATTAAGGTTTTTGAAAATAGCTAAATCATTATCTTTTGTTTCTTTCGTTTTCTTTAATCATTAATAATTAAATACCATTATTTATCAGATTTTATTGCTTAAACTTTGTTTAGTCTGTAAAAATTTATTTAATTTATTTAAGCGGCTTTCTGAAATGATGGATTCTCTTCGGAACACTGCTGAGACAGTTGCCTCAGGTTACTTTTTTCGATTTCAAATTTTTTTTCTACAAATTCTATATTATTATTTTTGTTTCTTGGAATATAAATGAGAATTAATTATTTATTTTAAAAAAAATTTTAGGAATCATTTGCTTAAAAAAGCGCGAAATTCAATCCTTTTCAAAAGTTTATGTTAAGAATCGAAATTTTATGTTAAGAAAATTCTAAGCTATCGAAACTTGTCTTTACAAGATTTTTTCTTTTATGTGTTTATATTTTAGCTTGTGTTTATATGTGTATATTTTAGCTAACGCTCCACTGCTTGAATCTATCCAACGATTAGAAGCTGAACTTAGTTTGCAAGAGCAAAGATATTCGTCTTATGTTCAGGATAGTGAAAGGCGTGTCGATTTCCTCATTAAAGAAAAAGGTTTTTTCTGCTTTTAATAATTTTACAGCTTTGTTATATTTCATATAATTTCGTAATTTTCTAAATATTTTTTTAAGATAAATTGGAGCAACAAAATGACGAATTAAATTCATATCTAAGTAAGGTTTGTTATGCGTTTGTTAATAGTTTTTGATTGATAGTTTTTTATGTTTTCTGTTTTTTCATTTTTTCCTTATTTTATTTAATGCGTTTTTTATATTGTTTTCCCCCCTAATTTTATCATTTATTTTTGTGCAATAATGGTTATTATAGCTAAAGTCAGATGTTGTCGAATCTTCCGAAATACAGACAAAATTGTCAGAAACATTGAAAAATACAGAGGATAAGAATATGTGGTGAATCTTTAGATCAATAGAAATAAATTTTTTTCATCATTGAATTTTTTTATCATTTTAGATTTACTTTTATATTTTTTAATTCACTTTTTTTCTGGATTATATTTTTTTATTTTTTAAAATAGATCAAAATTTTTGTCTAATGATCATAAATTCAAATCTAATGTAGAGGTTTTTTTCACATATTTTTCATTCTTCAATTTCTCAAATTAAATAATTAGAAATTTAGGTTGGAGAAAGAACTGAAGGTCTTGCAGCGATTAAATGAGGATATGAAAAGGTCCTTGAATGATAAAAAATCTGATCTTGACAAACTTTATTTGAGGATGCGAGAAGAAACAGAAAATGCGGAGCAAATCATAATGGAAAAGGTAATTATTGTTTGTTGTATGGTTCTTTTTATATTTTTTATATTTTTGATAAATTTGTTTTATGATAATTTTTTTTACAGCAAAGTCAGATCGATTTTTTAAGCTCGCAGTGCAAGCAGTTCGAAGAAGATCTCAATAATTTACGCCGTAAGATGCTAGATAAATCAGAGAAATCTGAAATCAGAGAAATCACAACTTCCAGCATTGATGTTGTTCCTAATGAGCCAACGCCATATATATCAGCAAGCGCAGCGCAAGTCAGTTATTTATTGCCTTGAGGTTTCGTGAGCATTTTATTTTTATATTTTTTTATTTATGTATTTCGTAGATTGAAACAGCAGGAGTGAATACGTCCTTCTATCATGATGTTGGCGACACACCTGTACTTCTTTCGCGAAGAGATTCCCTGGCATATTTAATCCGATAAGTCGGCTAGTCGAGTCTAACCATCAATGACTTTATTCCCCAAACAGTAATAAACTTGTCTTTAAAAAAGTCGTTGATTGGCTCCACTTGTTATTCTATGGCGAAAATATGTAGTAGATTTTAAACCAGTTGTGAAGAATATAAATTTAGAAATAAAATTTAAAATTTAATTTCCATAATTTCCATAATTTTGACTGCGCTTTCTTTTTTTGAGTGTTTTTGCTATTGAAGATTGAATTAGCTGATGTTATCAGTAAGTATGATCAGTCGATGCGTCATATTTCATTGCTTCAAGCTAAATTATTTTCATTTGAAGAAGAACGCTCTTTATTGACATCATTGCAGCAACAATTATTGGTTTGTTTTGCGTTTTTTCTAAATGTACTCATATTTTCCTAATTTTAATGTTGGAATTTTTATTTATAGAATCTTCGAAACATTTATTTTATACACGAAATTCTTATTTATAGGACTTACGAATGCGTTATGAAAGTCTTTTAGAAGCACATGGTGAGAAAATTGAACGAATTGAGGAGCTCGAATTAGATTTAACCGATGTTAAAAAACTTCTAAAGGACCAGGTTAAATTTGCGTTATTTTCTTATTCCTCACTAAATCAATAATTCAAAATTTTTAAAGAACTTTTGGAAAACAAAAAATTAAAGAAATTCTAAAAATTGTTTTCTCTTTCAGATGGAATTTTTCTTGGGAAAGAATTAAATTATATTAAAAGCGTAATTTTAGCAGCGTAATTTTTGCCGAATTTTCTTTGCTCATCAATCATTATGAAGTAGCGGAAAAATAATCCTAGGAAATTATTCAGAAATAATGTAATGTTAAGTAACGTTTAGCGAATGCTCTTATCTAGTCTGTGATATTATTTGATATATTATTTTATAATAAAATATTATTTTTTATTTATCTCTCAATAAAGTGATTTTGCTATAGAAAAAAGTTTCATCTATTTATTTATTTTATTTCAATCATTTTAAAGCTCCGTTTATTAGTTTTCTAATGGAGCAAATCTGGAGTCTATTTATGAATCTAAATTATTCATTATCATAGAAAACCAATTAACTGCTTCTAATTAAATAATCGTTTCTGAGCTATATTCGTTGGTCCTGAAATAGGTTTATAGGTTATTAATGCTATTAATCTACTATTTTTCTTCGTAAGGGCACATTTCTGGTTTAGTCTGGTTTATCAAACCAGACAAATTTTTCCATACGAGTCACTTTGCGACAGAAGTTTAGATGAATTGCGAACCCAAATTTTTGGAAAACTCCTGGTATGCTGTTATCGTATAAATCCCAACACTGGCATTTCGAAGTGAGGGCAACATTCGTCGAATCATTTTATTCCCTATCAGATATGGGGAAGAAAAAAATAGAAAACTTTATAGATTTCAACATCAAGGCAAATCAAAAAAATTTACTGTAAATTTTATTCATTAAGAAATTGTATGCCATAATAGAAGCAGATTAGATGAAAATTCAGATGGCAATATTTAACAAACGGCAATAAAGCGCGAAAAAACAATGGTGAGATCCAAGTTTAAAAATATTATAACGATTAAATAACGATTGGAATTCATTGAATTTATAATTTCAATTTCGATGCATTTATCATCATTAATCATTTTATTTATCATGGCCAGTATATTTGAAAATATCGTTTGTCTCGCTTCGATTAAGAGTTCAGCCAAGCAGTATGAATCTCCTAAAAGTACGATTCTCAATTGCAATTTGCTGACGGTCAAATTAGAAATTATTATTTGAAAGTAGCTCTGAAAACTGAATAACTTATTAACATCCGTGAATTATATTCGTTTAAATGGCCCGATTTTGTTTCTATATTTGATCAAAAAAATTGAAAAAATATTAATTTTCGGTTTAATTGAATTGGAAAAAGTGAATATTTTGTACAAAAATCTTCAACGAGTACATCATTATCGGAGTCATGTATATTCAGACTTTTTTGTTTCTCAGTAATGCTTTCAGTGATAGCAACACAAACATCTGTAATATCAGCAAGAGGCGTGCCAGAAATCGCTTGCAACTCAACAATTACCTGAAAACTTAACTTCATTCTGTCCTCACACATTAGCTAGATGAAGGAATTTTCCGTTTATATCTATTGAAATCGTTTTTATTCCATGATATGATAAAAGTTATTAAAGATTATCACTTTTTCAGCGGCTTCCATACCATCAACACAATTTGCAGCTGTTGCAATTATACCATTGCCCAGTAATAACCAGTCCGCTTGAACGCGGCATAACCTCTCTCTAAACGCAATATGAATTAAAATTCATCGTAAAAAGCATGTATAAAAGTGGCAAAAGCCCAGAAAAGCCATCTTATCTAATTAGATTTTTTACCTCTGGACATTTTGACCAACTTCACCCAACACATTTATTAACATTCGCTTGTAAATCTCATCCCAATATAGAAATACGCAATCCATAATTAAAAGTGCATACTGCCAATATGCCTGTACATCAAACTTAGTTGTCCAATGAACTTCTAAAATGAAGCAAATTAAATAAGTTATAAATATAACAAAAATTAGAAACAACTAAAGCAAAAACTTTGCTGCCTTGCACAAAAGAAGAAATGAAAGCTGGAATTTTAATTTTTTGTAAGCAGAAAGAAGAGAAAACAGATCTTAGAGGTATTTTCTTTGGTCAAAAGTTGGGCAAAGTGAATTAATTATTGCAAAAAATAATTAAGCAGTACGATTAAAGCCAAGTCTATATGTGTGGTTTTTGAAAAAAATTAAATCATATCTTACCACAGTCATATTCGCTAGGTTTAGATAAAACAGTGAAAAATCAGCGCCGATATTCTTTAATACGATAATAAGAATATTTGCAAACGAAAGAATTACTCAAAGAAACAAAAAAAACAGACCTAATAATTTCAACAATGATTCTACATAAATCAAGGGGGTACAATGATATGAGATCTGCCAGTTGATCGTAGTTAATACTCGAATTTCAGAGCGCATCACAGATTCTTCTGTATAAGCAAAACCAAGTGTTTGTAAGCACAGTTTAACAGTTTTGCGCGATAAACTCTAAAAATACTTTTTCGCTTAAATACCAAATTCTAAAATAGCGCAGATTTCATATTTAAAATATATATTTAATTATATAGTGCACTAGGAATAGCTAAGGTACTGCGTAGAACTCCCAGGTATCTGGTAAACTATGCGAGGTTAAAGATGACTCTTACTACCCAAAAAGGCGAAAAAAGATTTTATATATATATAATTAAAATAGATTAGGGAAACTATAAATAAGGTTAAGATTATATTATGACTCTAAATGAAGTCGGTAATGATTTGGTCTAGTAATTTCAAATGCATTACTCAGCATGAATCAAATGTAAAAGGACGATGAGACGATTAAGCCTTAAGTGGCTAAGAATGGGATCCCTTGATATAAATAAATTTACCATTAAAAAAAAAATGATAGTCATTGTTAAAAGATGAAAACTTGAAGTAAGCAACAATGAAGGAAGCTATAATTTTTTATAAGGAATAGTTACATCGTGATAGCTATGCAATTTCGAAGCAATCTGAATTGCTGATAAAATTCGAAGCGTAAGTTGACGTGATAATGTCGCTTCAACTCGATTCCATTCTCGATGTTTTTCAGAAACACTTCGCTCAGACTCATATATAAATTCATACAGCTGTTGTGTATGCTCTAACATAAATCTGAAATAATTCCTTGCCAGCGAATAATACAAATATTTTAAATATCTTCTAAATACGTACTATACTGAATTACACTGAACTGCATTGAAAACACATACTTATCAAAAATTAATGCTGCCGAATATTTGACTTCTTGAGGAAGACGAAGTCGAACGCATATCGTAAATATATATTCAATAACATTAGTTGTGTTAAAAATACGATCAGTATGGACCTGATAAAAAATTTTGAAAAAAAAAATTGAAAATAATATCAAAAATATGTAAAAATGTGGAAATCGAAATGGTGAAAACACCACTGAAGTAATTACAATTTTTTTCACCACCAGTAATTTTATGAATATTCGATTTGAGCCTCTTGATACTACTAAGCTTGTCCTTTTAATAGCACTTGCCTTTCTGATTTGGATGGTTGCATCGACTACTAGGATAAAACTTTTTAACTAGAAAACCAACTGGGAAAAAACAAATGAACCCACAAAACTCTGATTTTATTATTTGTGACTATACTCCGAATAGCAACGAACTCTTCGATCATCCTAACCTCAAAAAAGCTGTATTATATTAAAAGAAAATAAAAAAATTTATTTATTGATAAATTATTTTTTATATATTCCCTTCTACAAGATAAGATTCATCCGGTAGTGATAAGGATTGCCAGCAATTCTATATGCATTAAAATATGCATTTCTGCACTCAAAAAATCCGAATCCGCCTAGTGGAACCAAACTGAAAACAACGCGTGATTTTAGATGGACATTAGGGTTATAAGACAATACGGTTGACAACAAGATATTTTGTACTGGAAGAATTATAAATGAACGACAGTAAGTATACTTACAGCTTCATCGATTCTCTTTATGTTTTCTGATGCGAGAATTTTAAGCCAATCCAGGTGCATATCATCAGAAAGACTAGCCATGTTGTTATGAAAATCCGGTTCCATAGTGCGCAATTGTCTTATTGGTTGAACGACTGGAAAAAAATTGTATATATAAAAAGATATATATATATATATATATATAAAACAGCAATAATAGTAGTTATTCCTTGGTTGATGTAAATTTGCGCATTTTGCAATATTAAAAGAATGAAAAAATTCAGAATTACCAAAAAATATTTGGAATATTTTATTATTAGTTCAAAGCATTAGAGTTCGCTACTTTTTGATATGAATAAATCGAACCGGAGATGATGCTGGCGAATTTCTTTTGTTTTCTTAAGCAATGAAAATGGCTGGGAAATGTAACTTCCTGTAATATCCTATAATTAATGGAATGAGCCTGGCAAGAGATGGTGAATGCTTTAGAGTGTCAAATAAAATATTTTGAAGTTTTTCCCCGGGGTGTCATTAAGATAATTTTTAATATTCTAAAGCCTATTTTTAAAATTTTAAATGCTGTAAATTTCCAAATTAATCAGACGACTCTAAATTGAATCTTTTGAATATAAAATTTTACATGAAATTTTTTAATTTTTAATTTAATTAAAATTTAAAATTAATTTTTATTAAAATAGGATGCAGAAAAAAGATTCCTATAAAATCTAAAAATTTATAAGAAAAAAATGATTAAAAGAATAAAACCGCAAATAATAAAAATTAATATTGATAAATTAAAAGCATAATTAATAAAATAATAATTTCAAATAAATATTTATTTGCTTGCAAAAGCACCGTTAAGAAAAAATTTTTATAAAAACGATAAAAGTAATAATTTTCGACGTTTCATCAATTGCAAACTTGGCGAAATTTTAAATTTTTTTAATAAACAATGAAGAAAAAAACAAATATTTGATTATTTTAAAAAGTTTGGTTTTTACTAAAAAATTACCTAAAACATCGAATAATTTTTTTCATTGATTAAAAAATTATGAAAAACTTAAAAATATTAAAAATTCATATTTTACATAATTATCAAATAAATTTGAGAGAGAGAAAATTTGCTATTTTAATAAAAATTGTTCAATATTTTTTACTTTTTGAAAAATTTCAAATATTTCCAATATACAATATTTGCAAAAAATTGGTAAACTTTCCTTGATTGGCAAAAAAACACAAAACCTAACTAACCTCGCCCGGGGTTATATTCCCGACTCACCTGTATGCATTTCCACCCTTAAGTGACCCCCTGGAAAAACCTGGCCCAACAATCCTAACCAGAGAAGGGACCACTCATCGTCACCACTTTTCTACTGTATTAATCGCTATCTTGCATAAGCATGCGCACTAGCAGCGGGAACTTGAGCATCATAGCGGGAATTTAAACGATATATAATTGTAAATAAAGTAAAATTAGTAAATAAGTAAGCAAATGCAAGCGGTTGGTGCTCACCATTTCTGATTAGGTTCGTTCCACTGGCTTTGATACGATTTTGCGCTTGGAACTCTTTTTGGGGTGCTCATTTGACTGGGCATTCACGGCTGCGCCGGTCATGTATGGGTCCATGGTACCATTCACATTTCTTAAAGTCAGGCTCGCCCGTGGCAGAATTAGAATCTGAACCCTGATTCGGCACTATGAGCAATAGCCACTTGCTTGTCTATCCCGCTTGCCAAGATATTTGAGTTAGCTTTGAATAAACAAAGCTGAGGGTGCAGGAAGGACTGAGGCTGAACTGAATTAATCTGGCTGCTGTTTATTAATACTTCACGTTATCCCATAAAGTTTGCTTAGTTTGAAAGACTTTATAGGAAATTTATTTCGAAATAGGGAAAATTTAGCTGACCAAAGCTGGTTTGCCGTTAATTTCATTGTGCTTCGTTAATTTATTAAAGCAAAATCGAATTTGAGGGAGTTTGAAAATTTCTTCCGAGAAACGACGAGAAACACTAATTCGAGATAGGTTCGCAGATTTAGTGCATAAATGAGGCAAAAAATATTTTGAAAAGCTATTATTTGTTGGTGATTTTCAGTGATTGTGATTTGATTTCAGCAATTTTCCCCACAAAACGTGGCGCATCCAGAAAATTAGTGCTGAAAGATGATTGTGCATTATGGCCAATTGCAGTCGATTAATTTGCCGTTGAGTGTTTGTATTGTATTTTAACGGCACTCCTTTAACATAGATAATATTATAGAATAATTGACGATGGAAGGACATTTTGACTTGTTGAACTTAAAAGTAGAAAATATTTCTGCCGTTGTTCTTCCAAATTCTCATCAAATTGCAAAACGAAATCATCTAACGCTTTCTCATGATATCGTTTGGTCCTCGAATTCCAATATGCTCAAAAAAGAAATTCGACAGAATAGCGAAAATTCGCCGTTTCTTGATAATATTTTGATAATTCTTATTTAATTCTATTAAGTGGGCATAGGCTATTTATGACGATTAGGTAACCTGTTTAGAATGGCTGAATGGGCTATTTGGGGTGACTGAAGGAACTATTTAAGATGATAGAATAAGCCATTTAGGACGGTGAATTTTGTCATTAGGTTGTTACATTGGATTTTATAAAAGAGGAAAACCATTATTATTTGATGTATTTTTAATTCGGAAGTTATATTTTTTTCTCGGTGTTATAACACTGTTCTTGTGATTTTTAATTCCTACAGATCGCTATTTTTGCTTAACTGCATAAATTAACTCCTCTGGCTTGTCGGACTCGGATTTTACCACAGAACCATTTGAAAAAAAGAACCGAGCACCATCTGAATTATTGAAGGATAAATTTATAATACTCATGCGAATATTAGAATCCTACAGTTGCTGTTCCGAGATGAGATAAACAACTCCATTGAGCCATTTTACTCCATAGAAACAACTGTTAGAAGAAGAATTCAACTGTTTTAAGAACTGTCATCTCACTCAACTGTCATAAGCACGATGAATTATGGTAATAAAAATACGAAATCGTAAATGAATTATCGATTCTAAAGATTTTTAAAAAATAAAATGATAAGACATTTTGCAGAGAATTTACATAGATTGAACAAATAACTGAAAACCAATTTGGATAATATTGTAAAATTTTATTCAAAATTTTTATAAATTAATTACATTTTACATTTCTTGATAAGTGATAAGACAAGTTTCCATTAAATAGCTTAGAGAAAAAACGATCAATTACAGCCAGAAGGATACTCAAATATTTGAATTTATAAAAAAATAATTGCACCCAGAAAAAATTGCGGTTAGGATATTACTTTAAAAAAGAGCATGTAACAAAATTGTCTTCGTTTTCAAATAGGCCATCCGAAGAAAGTACCGAATGAATAAGGTCCACCGGGAGCCAAAATTGAGTTTCGATCTGAAACATTTCATCTAAAAGTGATAAAAAAAACGAGGTGATCACAATAGTTTTACGCAAAATGACTATATGTAAACAAACATAATATTATATATATCCTAAAAATCACCATGAATTATTGGATCATTAGCTATGCCGCGGCTGATAACAAAAAATATTACAGCGAACCATGGTCCTCAATAGGATCGAACCTATTATTAAAAAGGAAATTCAAGATCCACCGTTGCTTCCGTCATCAAATGCATCCCTTACCATATATAAACTAATGAGTGAAATCAGTAATATTTTAATCATAATTGAATAGACAACAAATAGAATACTTCCAGAATAAAAACGTCCAGGATTCGCGATCCAATTGGTATTAGCATCGTATCCGTAGCCGAGGAAGTTCCAAGTGGTTCCGAGATCAATCCTTGGTATACCATACGGAGAACCAAATAACGTAAAACGAAGAGGATCCACAACTATTTGACCTAAATTTTATAGAAAATTTTTGATGAAGATTAGTATCTTCTCTTGAAATCTTATTAACGATTTCAGTAATCGGCCAATGACCATTTTACATTGGCCTGTTTGCCTGTTTTTGCCTGTTTTTTATTTGCATGAATGCTAAAAACGCAAATTTGCGTCAAAATCTTATTCTCGCTCCAACAAGCAAATAGAACGGTTCCAAAAACATTTCCATCAAATAACAATAAAACTGAAATCCGGTTGACTTTTGGAAATTCGGCTACCCCAAAGTGACTGATCGGTCAGAGATTTTTCGGATCATAAATTGTGCAATTCTCATTTTTTGTTGCAAAATTTCTTTTCTCTTCTATTATTTTTGACTCCAAAAATTTTTTCTAAATGATCTTTTTTTCAAATATTTTATTTAATATTTATTGTAAATTTCAATAAAATATTTAAATCCATAACACTGAAACGATTTACAAAACAAATCGTAATTAAACCGTAAAATCCAGTTCGAAATCAAATAACTATTCCAATAAGGCAATAATTAGAAGAAAACTTGAAAAGAAAAGAAAAGACGTTTGGCTAGTTTATTGCTTAGTTAATCCTTAATAGCCCCTATTCTTATATTTTTCGTTTTCAATATATATTTTTATATTCACCATATGACGAAGGTGGTAGCGAAACGATTAACAAAACGAAATCCCATCTACGACCTAAATTCTAAATTTAGGATTAGAAGTTCACCAAAGTGGCATTCAGAAGAATATAATGGAATGGCGAAATTGGTGATTTATTGATGCTATGCAGACATATTATCCAAATCCAAGCAGTGATAAATTTCTTGTGAATTTCAAAGGGAAGATGAAAAATGAAATATTCTCGAAAAATTTTAAAAATTAGTGCAGAAAAAGTATAAAAGCACTAACTCCATTTATTTCTACTAATTAGACCAACAAAATTTTTTACTGGGATGACATCACTTAGCGACAGAAATATAAATGAGCAATATTTGCCAGCAATATTTCAGGATTTTCGGAAAAGGGCTTCATTTTTACAGGGAAAGGAACCAGTGCATCTGCACTTCCAAATAATTCACTGAGCCATTCTATACTACCCCTTTACTTATAAATGCCTAAATTTAGCTGAATGTTGTTGTTTCACTGGCGATATGCAGCAATCCATAGTAATTGACAAGTGTAAATAAATGTTAGTGGACTAAAAGTGAAAACTGAAAACTGGGTGGATGCTGGCGATGCAGCCGCTTCTCTGCTTCTAACTGCCTGATTATAGCAATCAATGCATTCACGCAAGCCTGAAACTTTTGAAGGCTTCGAAGCTATCGAGGCTTGGCGACAGCTTTGGCTGAAATGTTAGTGAATTTTAAATTGCAGAAAAGTCTACCTTGTGTCGACAAAATCATCACTGAGACAAGCAATGCACCACCTTTCATCGAAGAAACTTCTTATATACTTCTTAGAAGTAACAACAAATGACAGCGACTATTTCCATAGAAATTAATCCATAGAAATACTTATCGTATTTAACCAAATTCGAGCGCCAACCTTGAACACAGGCGTGGTCTATGACTCGTTACTTGAAAAACTCGTTCGTATTCTTAAGAGAAATTCCCATAAAACTGAATATTTCTATTTTCAAAGCGGTATGAATGATGTTTATCAAATTTGCTGCAAATTCTTTAAGGTTTTTTGATCAAACAAAAGGATATGAAAGTTTTAAAAATGAAAAAAAATATTTTCATCTTTTTGTCTTTGCACTAATCCAGTTTCTTGTAAATTCCAACGGCAAGATGAAAAATGAAATATTCTCGAAAAATTTTAAAATTAGAGCAAAAAAATTGCAAAAAGACCAGAAATGCAAAAAAATCAATGGTTATTGCACTTTATCGTACTCATGTGAAGCATGTTGCATGAAGTTTTATAAGAACAGCAGGATTTTCAAAAACAATATTCCTGAAGGAATTTTCAAGAATAAAATTTTAACATAAAACAATAGCGAAAAAAAAGAACGTAATAACAATTTGTTTCTACTGATAATACTCTTAATAATTTGTAATGACGTAATAAACGATGATTTTAATAACATTTTAAAATAATTTAAATAATATTTCAAAAAAATATACAAAATTACAAAATTACAAAAAATTATAAAAAATAAATTAAGCAACTGCGAAAATTACTTTTCTAAACGACAATAATAAAAGTAATAGCAAAACTTAAATAAACAAATACAATCTCGTTTTTCAAATTTTTGAGATCGCAACTTTACGCAAACCCTTGCTTTAATTTCAGCTCTCCAAAGGTCAAAAAACATTTCCTTTCCACAATTTCAGTTCAAATTCATTCACTTTATTTATAGAACTAAGTCCGACCTGCAAAAAAATATTCCATAAAATCAAACTAAATCAGGAAAGACTAATTTAAAATGAATGAATATAAAAACACGAAATTCAAGCTCCCAGCGGGCAAATAATGTTAACAGACAAAAAGCGACCTGCGAAGATTTTCACAATTGCAGTTACGATTCTCAGCCACTGCGTTTACTCACAATTTTAATACATCCTGCACTTTTAGCGTAAAATTTTTTAAAAATTACACAGGCTTATAACAATTCGCAATTCACCTAAGAATGCCTTCAAGGATAAATTAGCATCAAAAACTGACAGAAAACAATTGAGTTTTAACAAGATGATTTCACATTTTTCTAAATTTTAGGCATCTTTGAAAGATCCTTCATTAAATTTCAAGATAGATAAACCGAAATCATTTTACCCGAAGGCATTTGTGGAGGCCCCATACTAACACTCTGATGAACACCCATACTGTTCATGGTTAAACTGTTGTGCGAATGCTGTTGAACGAGACTATTCGTATTTTGTGGACCAGGATTTGGCCGCGGCATTTTTTGCAAAATAGGTAAAAGTTGTTCTTTTTCATCAAAAGTTTTCCATATGCTGTACATGTTTAAAATAACCTTTTGAATTTCAAAGATCTGAAAAAACTTTAATTAAAGATTGCTTAAAAATTGAGAATTAAGAAGATACGTTCGACTCGACCACTGAAAAAAATAAATGATATGATAACGAATTAACCTTATCAAAATCTACAGCTAATTCAGCGAACCAGTTTTTTAATTCCTTGTCGCGATTCGTCCATATTGAAGCAATAAGAATACAAGCTGAAATGATAAATGTTAAATTTAAAAAGAAAATAAAAATAAAATAAAGCGATTTAAAATAAATTGTTGAAATCAAAAGAAATCCTCTCGAAATGAAAAAATTTAAAATAAGAAGAAACCATCACCAATAGCGATTAGATGAGGAGGATAAAGTAATGAGAGATCAGTTCGTGTATAGTCATTGCATATCTTCCACGCATAAGTTGATATGGCATCAAGGTCCTTATATTCGCGACTCATATCAGCCATAAGTTGATTTAGTGGTCTGAAAATGACCCTACACAAGAATATCAAAACAGAAGAGAAAAAAAATATAGATATAAATATAGATATAAAAGATATAAATATATTTCAGCCATTATATTTCATGTATAGCGTACCTTCCAGTCCATTTTCCTACAGGTTAACCGTTGTGATAAGAGGCAAAATTTGCATATACCTACTATATGAATCTTCATAAGCAGAAAATAGCAAAAGACGAATTTGTGCGAATTGCTTAGCAGTTCAGCTCAGAATGGCAAAAGCCATTCGCGAAATTATAGTTAAGTTTTATTAATTAAAAAATAGACTCCCGTTGAATTATGTTTCTGCTGGAATTGGGAATTAAAGCTCTTGATACATAAGACAATTCTGATCTGAGCAATAACCCTTATACAATGAAAATGAAGCAATAAAAGTAAAATGAAGAAAAAGAGTAAAAAATATATTCCATCATATAAAAGCTAATTAATAAAGTGATACCTGTACGGATGATATACCATAAGACAACAATCCATAATCTCGAGTAAGATAAATTCTGCTTCTTGTATGTTTTGTACTCGTATGACCAAATCTTGCGGTATGAAAGGCCATCGTTTCACTACAAAAAATGTTAACATAGTTCAAACAATAATACTCAAAAACTTTGAACTTTTCGATTTTGAATTTTTGAAATCAAAGAAACTGCAAGAAATATGGTATAATTTACTTCTGAGAAGCAAATTTATATGCAATTTATAATTTATATGCAAAACATACAAGCACTATTTGTTGCTTGAATTAGTTTATTATGAGACATCATCCCATGTTCTTCCACTTTTGAAGCAAGAAAAATCGTAGTTGGCGCGAGCAAAAATGGATCTATATCCTTTAATGAACGTCTAAAAAATAACAAATTCAATATTTGGCACCAAAGAATGCCTTTCGAAATTACATTTCGAAAATATTTAGTCGCAAATTTAATTTAATTTGAGAAAAAAAATGATGGTTGTTTCCTATTATTTGCTTAGGTGAAGAAAAGCAAAATTTTAGTCGGATTCACGTTCCATAATAAGAATAAATCTACCAATAAAAGTGAGTAACTCTAAGTAACTTTCTGGAAAATAATCTCAACTCTTATAGTGCAATCAGGCGAACCAGAAATAGTTCAGGCTATTAAGAGAATATAAAAATAGGAAAAAATTTTATAGAGGAATATTTTTAGAGAATGGAACTATTTAATAAAAAAAAGGAAAAAGGAGTTGTCTTATTTGTAAAAAATTACCTAGCATAAAATCTTCGAAAATATACACATGCTGTCGCTATAACTTGAATTCTGATTTTCTGACCTTGCTGTGGATCCAGAGCTATCGCATATATTACTAAAAAAATTTTAAATACAAAAGGATATACAACAAATATTTTCTGAAATAAATAAAAATAGAACCCGATGTAGGTGATAAAGCGTGTCAAGTATACATATATATCAAACCATGTTTGTGCTTTCACGAATAGCCAAATGATAGATTTGAACAATGTATGGAGAATCAGATAAGTAAATAAAGAATTGTCGTTTCATAATTTTTCCATAAAAATTTCGTAAATTTTATGCTTTATTTTTTATCTTAGAGTGAACCTGTCACAAAAATTCAATAAAAATTCACATTTCAGGCGGACGCTACAGATTCACCTTTTCCTATCGTCTAAAAACTCTATGATAAAAACTCTATAATTGGTGCATTTTGATACAAAAAAAAATTGTATTCAAAAGTTTCTTCTTATTATTGACAAATGAAAAATGGTTTAACAAAAATATTATGAATCATGAAAATGATGGATTTCTATTATCTCTGAAAGGATAGGGGATTCATCTTTTCCCTAAAAAATTCTATGAAAGGATTTAAAGGTTTTCTCATGCCAAATCAAGCCAAGTTTAATTTTGATTTGCTTAATCCAATTTCAGTGCATTTTCATTTCACTTTGAAAAGCATATAATTTGAAGAAATAGCCAGTGTGCGAAGAGTTTGAAAGAAGTTCTCTTTTTTTCACTTCTCAGGTTTCCAAATTTTAATATTTTAATATATAAAATTTTACACCAATGTTTCAAACCAAAAGTTTACCAACAATGAATATTTAATAGATACTTCATAGGAAAGTGGTACGAATAGTACACGAGTAGTAATAAACTCGAAATAACAGAATAGGAATTACCTAATTAGAATAAGAAATTAAGGGATAAGAAAATAAAACTACTGTTTGTTACTGGCAAATCTCACAATATAATTTTCAAGTTAAAAACAAAATAGTTAAAAGGTAAAAAAAAGCAACAGAATATAAAATGACTTACAGTTAGTGAAAAAAATCATAAGTTTCGTGTATTCTTCTTCAGTCATACATTTCAAATCTTCTCCACGCATTCTTAAGATATCTTGTTTATCCAAAATCCATTGTTCCCTACAAATAAATTATTTTAAAAAAATACTCGACCCGGCTATCGACTGGATAAATTAATAATAATACTTATAAAAAAATCATAACAACTCAGATAAATAAATAGTAATACTTATATAAAACGAAATTCTTTCGCATTTTTATGAAAAAATATATAATTAAGATGGAATGAATTTCCTGAAATTAAATTTATTATCTGCACTTCAAGTATTATGCCGAATCCAATCCCGCTAAGGTTGTTGTTCAAATTGGAAAAAAGATCTCAAATTTACAAATGTGTAAATAAATAAATATATAAATTTACAAAATTACAAACAAAAAAATCAATAAAAGCAACTAACGTCTTTCATAAACAATACTTATAAATAGAAATCCACAGTAAAAGAAGATATATAGAGAAAATAAAATTTTAAACTATCTAAATTTTAAAAAAAGGATAAATTTCTAATAAATTGAAAGCAATGAAAATTGAAAATTTCTAAAAGCTAAGAAATTTATAAAGTTTGTTTGAAACATTCTTCGAATTTCTAATTTGTGAAAAAAATTAATTTGAAAGAATTAAAAAAACTTAAACCAAATGAATATTAATTAATAATAATTTTTAATATTTGTAATTTATAAAAATCAATAATTCGTTTTAAAATTATAAGAAATATAAAAACTAATTAATCAATAAAAAATAGAAGAATTCGACTAATAAAAGAATTTTCTAACTATGCAATTCTAAAAAAAATTTCAATTTATCGTTTTCAATTAAACGACCAAAGGAGAGGAAAAATTTTTGATTTGAAACGCTCGGCAACAATCTTAAAACCGGAAAAATATAAAAGAAATTTCGGAAACGTGCAAAAGTTTAACGAAACAACCTACCAATGCGAACTTTGCCAAAAATTTCCAGCCATTATTTATTCATTCTTAAGGGAAAACAGTTTTCAAACTTTATTTACAGGTTCAAGAAATTCTTCTTAGGACCTAAACCTTTGAATTTTTTGTTCTTTCTGCCGATTATGTTGAGAATCCGGCTATGCTTATAGTCCTCAAATGATCGGTCCTCTGGTGGAAATTTCTCGCCGTTACAATGGTTAAGTGAACCCTACAGTAACCAGAAGTGGTGAATATTGAACAATTCGCTCTTATTTTTTGCATATTTTACTAATTTCTCCTTTATTTAAATTAAATTACATTTTAATTTTGAATTTTAGGAGATTTTAGCAAAAAAATTTCAATTTTAAAATTTATAAAATAATTTTAATCTTAAAATTTTAATTGAAGGGAAATATTTTCTGAAAAGATGAATGATTATTCTAAAAAAAATGGTAAATTTATAGCAATTTCTCGCCATTATTCATTTATATAATAAACGAAACAATTATCGTACTTCCCGTCTATGTTTTCTCAATTATCGTAGCAAGAAATACGATCAATTATCGTTATTTATTCCTATTAAACGTCCTTGAAATATGCCACGAAATTTGTTGCTGTCACCACTGAATTTTCCTTAAATGCATTACGATAGCCTTATTTCGCATAATTATTTTTATTTTATTACTTATTCTCATAAGAATTTTTACAATTTATTTGTTTTATTAAGAAATTATTCTATTGTTTAGTTAAAAATTCATTTTTTAAATAATTATAAAAATTACTCAATTTGATTTCGCAATGAAGTATTTTTTATTTATAATTTAATAATTAATAATTTTGTAATTTATTTTAACACTACTCGATTGGTCTTATCTTACACTACAATTTTTTATTATTTTATGTTATTTTTATCAATCATTTTTATAATTTTATTCATTTTTTTAATAATTTTTCTAATTAATTAAAAGTTACTGAGTTACTGTAATTCAAAAACAATTATATTTATGAAATTTATTGCATAATTAATTTTTAATAATCATTAATTCTCAAAAAATTGTTTAATTCATATTTAATTGATTTATAGTAAAATCGGTAAATTATACGCCTCAGAGTGTATATTTCCAACAAAAATTAATTTGTTTTATAAAATATTTGATTTATTTAATGTTTACTTTTTATGAAATCTAACGGAGTTTTAGTAGTTCTCTGAAAATTTGCTAGGAAATCAAATTTTTTAAGCCAAATTTCTTCAGTGGTCAAATTTCTTATTTACCCTATCTGTAAAATGAATCGCCTTCCTATTATTATAATAGAGAGCGCTATTTCTGGTTTGCATGGCCCATTTGGATGTTGGAGTAAGAAAATTTACCGCACTGTCTCGTGGAAAATTTTCAGGCATAGCACTTTTAAAATTTTTGTTTAAATTCAAAGTTGGAAGCACGACAAGGCTAGTGGTGAACATTTTGGTGACAGCCGTTATACAAGGCGCTTTATTTTTTTGGTGCTTTTTCTTATTTTACAAAAAAATGACCACAAATTTCCTTCGATCAATGTTTTTCCAAATACTCACTCAAAATTTTTCTCATCAGCAAATGGCTTCTGTAATATTCATGAAATATAAGCGAATAATTAATTCGGATTTGAGTAGCTGAGTGAATATTGCTCAATTACCGTGACGGCCGTCATGTCAATGTCCGTGCCTCCAGTAGTACCAGGACAACCATTAAACATGAAATAAATCCTCTTATATGCTTTTATTATCAAATGATTCGCTGTCAAAAATTTCTAATCGCACTAACCGGCTTGTCTTATGTCAGATTTGTTAAAATAATTTTAATCATAATAATGCATAAAGACATTTTTTCATTTAGTATTTAGTGAATTTAATATCAATAATAAAAATTATTTATTTAAGTGATTTATTGATAATTGCGATGTGTTACTGGCGAAATGATTTTATGCGAATAGATTCGGGTATCAACCAAAAATAATAAATGAATCCCCTCGGCAAGTTAATAAACTTTGAGAAATTTCATTGTTCATCAAACATTTAAAACTGGCTCTCCCAAGCGAATCTCATAACCGAACATATATTTTTATATAAAAAAAGGCAATAAAATATTGTAAAATGTGAAAAGAAGAATATTTACCCATCATTATTTTGTATGAAAAATATCATTTTTCCCAAAATTTCCCTAAAAAAAAGGAGAAAATGAATCAAATGTGGGAGAGGATCATCACAATTTTTTATTAATATTTTAATGAATTTCAATATAATCTAACCGAAATACAATATTTTTATTTGATGGTAAAAATTTTATTGGCGAATAGGCTTGTTAATGATGGCAATTGTGAGTTAATTGTTGTGTGAAATGTTCGCCGACAAAATATTATACATTTTACAACAACTAGGTGTCATTTTAATGACATATTTTTAGGCCTATTATATTTGTTTATAATTGCTACTGAAAACAAATTATCTAGCAAATTATTTTCATTATCATCATTAACTATTCAAAAAATTTCATCGAAGCGTAGAATTGTTTTCAATTTCAGCTCAACAAATTAACTGATAATATTATATTGATAAGCTGAGGATATATTGATAAAGTTTTAAAAATTATACCGATGAATTTTTATTAAGATTAGAACTTTTTAACTAACAAATTATCAAAAAAATAAACAAGAAATACTTGCTTGATGATTAAACTGATAATAATTCCATGATAAGAAATCCTTTGAAACAAGAATTAGTGGATTTTAAATCACCTATTAAAAGATTTAAATCGTGCTTTGAATCAGCCCCAAGGCACATAACTGTTCCCTTCTAAATTGTTCAAATATTAAATATTGCGTTGAAGCTTTTTTCTAACCATGCATTATTTCTGGATAAATTCACTGGTATAGGTTGAGATCCCTCTTCCAAAAAATTTTAAAGATAGAAAGGCAGACAAAGTACCAGCAGGCAAGCACTATGCATTAAAGTCATAAAATGGTGCTTCATGGAACTTAGGCGATGTTCAACACTATGATTGATTGTAAATGATGCTGCAAATCATAATTATAAGAATATAAATGAAATGAAACCAGCTTTTGAACCAAAAAATCAAATTTCACAAATAAAATTAATCTTTAATTTGCTTTTTTTAAATGGATATATTAATGTGATTTTAAAGAATTAGAGAAAATTTCTTGAAGTAATTTGGCTTGCAATTTCTCGACATTATTGCAATAATAATTGCGATAATGATATTATAAGATTGCTATCTATCGGGTTATTTTGATGCAATTGTCATGTTAAATTTCAAGATGCTTGTGATGATTATGTTGCAACAGTTGACAATTAAATCAAATAATTATCGAATCAACAGAATTACTCATATAATTTATTCTATCACTGAATTCTCTGCACGTCAGACTCATTCACATCCCCAAATGGTTGCAGCGACTTCTACTTTTATCCATAAGCGATTCTCTAGCAAAATTCCTCTCAAACTGTTATTAACTTGTGGAAACTTTTCAAGTTTGGTAAACTTTTATTTATATTTATATTCTTAAATCCAAATACTCCTTGATTTTTATCCTTTTTGCAGAAAATTTTCCAGGTTTTTTGATAAATAATTATGAACTTATAATTTTCTGGCGTTTTCAGGCAAAATAAATTTGGAAGCATCATATTACCGTTTATTAGAAATATCGTCGCACTGATGATTATCGGCACTTTTTAATGCACAATTATGATTGAAACAAGAGGATACTTGAAATTATGCTTGGCCCACGCTTGACCCTCAAGTGTATCTTCCGTAATAAAGATATTCCAAGGATTGAGATGCCATTTGTCAAGTAATGTAACGGAATCTATCACTATTAAAAAATGTTGTTGCTCTTTGATTTTCCACTAAACAATTGACACTTCTGCAATGTATCTTTTTTGATCTCCTATATTATGAATACAAATTCAAGATAGGAAGAATTGCACCATAAAATTCCATCTATTAATCACATTCAAGAATTAATTTGTTTGCTTACATATATCGAAATTTAGATAAATTCTAACCCCAGAAAACAATTTTTATCAATTCCGATCTTTATTTTAATTCAG